TATTAAGGGAACATTCCCATGCTATGTGACCCATTTTGAGGGGGGGGGGGGGGGGCTTTAAAATACAATGCTTGGTCAAAGAAGCGGAGACGGTGGTTAGGTTTTTGTCATGTAGTTTTGTCATACAACAAGCGCTATATTAATAGAGACAAATTTGAGCCACATTTTTTTTATTTGAAAAAAAAATTGGCTTAAAACTATATTGATGCATTACCACGTAAAGATTAGAGGGTTTTTGTCTTGGTATATACTAATGGTGATTCCTGAGGGGCATGGGGGAGGGGGGGCAGGGGTAAAAATTGTATACGTCGTATGGACACGTTCCTTTAAGACGGTTTATCTCTCTATAATACATAGTAAATATGTATCAGTAGAAAGCTTTGTAGACAAGGCCAGGTCAAACGAATTACAACCTATTTAATTAATGATAAACTGTTGTGATTATGTACGTGACGACTCAGTAAGGTGCCGGACGATACCATTTTAGTGCCGCGCTGGTGATTATGTGGTGGCAAGTGATTTTTCAAATGAGCCGCAGGACGTGCTTCGACTCTTGATCAGCAAAACAAGGTCACGACTTTTTACTAGTTGAAGGCTGTGGAAGAGATAAAGTGCTGTTTTTCTCTTGCATTTTAAATATTAAATAGTTTATTCTTTCGTTATTTCAGAATTTCTTTCTTTTCTCACAGAGATAAATCTATCTCTGTACCAAATTTCACCAGATCTGTTCCATCGTTCTAGTGTAATTGTGTAACAAACATACGGACAGTAATAATATATTGCATAAATATTACAGAGATAGTAAATTATTTTTCTTTTTTATAAGACAGCTCCCGCATTAGGAATATATAAGTATATCCTGTGTCGCGGGGGACTTTACAAACATATATGAAACGGACACAAAGAACACCCAGACTCAGAAATTGTTATTCAGTTCCGCGACACAGGAATATATTCCTAATGTGGGAGTTGTCTGTTTCTAAAAGAAAGAAAAGATGACATCAAGAAAATACTCCCTTTGAAGTCGGTTAAAAGGCACACTTATTATACGTTTGACGAGTTTTTCTCAGCTTGTTCTACATTTATGAGGTAAAGATTTTTTTACCCAGCTAAGAGGTTGTTAGTGAATGGCGACTCGTAATGAGTTTCCTTTTACGCAGGCAAATTTAAAACATCACAACATGTACGGCCAAGAGATTCATATTGCTTTAAGTCTCCTGTAATGTAAAGGGAAAGCTTTATACTCGTATTTATGATTGCCATTTTGTCATTATCTATACTAATATTATAAAGCTGAAGAGTTTGTTTGTTTGTTTGTTTGTTTGAACGCGCTAATCTCTGGAACTACTGATCCGATTTGAAAAATTCTTTCAGTGTTATCCCATTTATCGAGGAAGGCTATAGGCTATATATCATCACGCTAAGACCAATAGGAGCGGAGCACCAATGATGAATGTTTCAAAAACGGAGAAATTTTATTACTATTGAGAGACGCAGACGATGTTGCGCGGGTCAGCTAGTAGTAAATAAATAGAATCTTAATGTTCGCCATTAATGAACAGATTTCAATTATTCTTTTTTTATTTCGATTGGTTTTACTCAATGTTGACTTTGAGTCATCTGACAAAACGCTATCTAGTTTCAAACTGTGTGTGATGTACTATGAAAACTAGATTGACTAATAGAAAACTTAGTTTTTTTTTAAACATACTTGTTATACCTAGAAAACACCAAAACTCTGAAACAAATATATGCAGATCGCAGAATCGAACCCGAGATATCAACAGTCGCATACGCTACCACTGCACCACCGAGGGATTTAGGGGTATCGAAGTCGGTGATATTATTACTGTCTCAGGATTTTATGTTTTTATATAGCCATAGACAATTATGTTTTTAACTAACAAAAGAACCAGCCGGTATTCCAATGTCTTTTTCTTTTCTTTTTTTTTTCTTTAAAAAAATTCCAATGTTTTATTGGCTTTACGCCTCTGCTGCGCTGCTATCAACATTGTTCACTATCTTAAATAAACTGTACTTACATAATGTTGTGTACACCATACAATTACGTTTCATATTAGAAGCATCATTGTCTGCTGTATGCGGCAGGGGTTTTTTTACCTTTTTTAAAAGACAACTCCCGCATTAGGACTTTACAAACATACATGAAACGGACACAAAGAACACCCAGACTCAGACCAACAATTTGTGGATCACACAAAGTGTCGTCCCATGTGGGGATCGAACCCACAACACTCGATCGATGCAGTCGATTTATTGGACTCATACAACTTCCCGAATACCCATAGATAGACTGCCTGATATTTTAATATTGTTATTTAAATTATGAAGAACACACATGAAACACGAGTGATCGAAGAAAGTTAGGTATGGGACTTGAAGGGTGCAAGAGAAGAGGAAGGCCAAAGAAAAGGTGGACGGACTGTGTGAGTGAATATATGGCTAAAAAGGGAGTAAACAGTAAAATTACGAATGATAGAGCAGAATGGAAGAATCACGCCTTAAATAAAATTGGGATAAGGGTAGGCAGATGATGACACATGACAGACAAATTCATTTATTTGACTACTTATATAAGACTTTGAAGTCTAATAAATGTATATATCTATACATTTATTAGACTATAAGTAGTCAAATAAATGTATATATCGGTTGAAGTCGGTTAAAAACTCATAGCCTAATTGATTAGGCTATGAGTTTTTAACCGACTTCAACCGATATATACGAGTAAATAATTATTCTAAAATGATATTGTGACACAAAAACTAGGAATTAAAAAGTTAAGTTAAGCCACAGTTATACCACAACATTGGTTTGATGTGTGCCAGTATGTCCGTTATTAAGGACATTGTCATTCGTCATCTCACTGATTACTACCTTTCTAGCCATATCCTCACTCACGCAGTCCATCCACCTTTTCTTTGTTTAATTGATTAGGCCTTGTTTAATTGATTGATTTAATTGATTAGACCTTTAATTGATTAGGCTATGAGTTTTTAACCGACTTCAACCGATATATACGAGTAAATAATTGTTCTAAAATGATATTGTGACACAAAAACTAGGAATTAAAAAGTTAAGTTAAGAGATTTATTTTATTTTTAAAAAGGTTTTTTACCTAATGTAATAGCCATAAAGTTAATATAAATATATTATTTGTAACGGCCGGCCGAATTCATTTGTGCGTTTCTAACAATGTTTGAATGAATGAAGTAAACAGAATAAAGAATAACCGCCTATGTTTTCTATATTTACATAATAACCTAGCGACACATATTTTTAAGTATTGTGATATCTTATCTAAAATATGCACAATGATGATACAATTTATCTTAAAAGTAGACCAGTTTACGTGCTGTAAAAGATAGCATCGATAAGAAAGATGAAATATAATATTATATAGAAACTAGCTGACCCGGCAAACGTTGTATTGCAAAACAAAAAAAAATTAGGGATGGGTCACCCTTATCATTTAGGGGTATGAAAAATAGATGTTGGCCGATTCTCAGACCTACCCGATGTGCACATAAAATTTCATGAGAATCGGTCAAGCCGTTTCGGAGGAGTACGGAGACGAACATTGTGACACAAGAATTTTATATATAAATAAATAATAAATAATAATAATAATATCTCACACACGGCCGTCTGATCCCAAACTAGGCAGAGCCTGTACTATGGTAACCAGACCGCTGATAAACATACTTATATATTTTTAAATAAATACATATTATAGATAAATTACACCCAGACACAGAACAAATGACCGTGCTCATCACACAATATTTGTCCTGGGTGGGAATCGAACCCACGACCTCCGGCTTAGCAGTCAGGGTCACTAACCACTAGACCAACAGGCCCGTCATAAGATACTGTTTTTAAAATAGATTATGTAAGGATTGTTATTTACTTATAAATAATATTACTATCACACATCTTAGTCACGGCAGTCTGATCCCATACTAGGCAGCGCTTGTACTATACTCAAACTCTCTTTGTTTCATAAAAAAAATAAAATTGTTTGAAATCGTCTTTTATGTAGACTCTAAAGTCATAGATCAACACACACAAAAGCAACAATCTCTGTTTTGTCAAATAGTAAGCAAATAAATTTAACAAAAAACCAAACCCATACAAAATCTATAATATGCCTGTGCCGATCTACAACCGCCCGTTTCCAAGGGTTTGAGCCTTATAAGAAGATATTGTATTGTGATATGTCATCAGCTATTTGCCAGTGAAAGTCCCGTGGAAATCGGTCCAGCCGTTCCAGAGATTACCCCGAACAAACAGACAGACAGACAGACAAAAAATGTAAAAAAAATATTTTGGCATATGTACCGTGTAAACATACATATGCATTTAGTAAAAAGCGGTTATTTTAATATTACAAACAGACACTCCAATTTTATTTATTTGAATAGATAAATTACACCCAGAGACAGACCAAAGGATTAAAGATGTATAGGGATAAACAAATAATACCCAGGATTGACTGACATAAACGGGGAGATTCTCAATTCGTTTTAATCTTTCTTTTTTATGTATGCTCACCGATTATTCGAAGAAGCGTGACCCGATATGAAAAATGCTTTTTTGTGCAAAAGGGTGCAAAAGGCGGTCCCATTGTAATTTTATCGAAAACGGTCAAGCGGTTTTAGAAAAATCACCAAAAATCTAGAAATACATCGATGATATTTTCGTTTACTCCGAAACCTCGTTGTCGTGTTGTAACCGTGCGTTTAGTTATGATCAATCTGTTTATTTGAAAGACGTTGGTAGCGTAAGATGCCAGGATGGTTAGCGCTCCTTTGGGGAGGTCTTCGTTCATCAGCGGACGGCGATAGGCTAGGGTAGGGATAGTGATGATGATGATAAAAAATTTATAGCTGAATTCAATATAATGCATTTCTTTTTAATTAAATTTAGCGATTGACATTGACTCGGAAAATACAAAGTTATTTTTTTGTTGTTTACAGGATGGCACAACGCCTTTGATCCTGTCGGCTGCGATGGGGCACACGGAGTGCGTGCGGGAGCTGTTAGCGCAGGGAGCTGACCCCGCCTGCTGCAGGACGGTAAAAAGCTTTCTGGTCATTTCTGATAAACGAACTATTAAGAGATTCACGATAGTCAGTAATATTATTATTAGAAATCTTATTATGAGTTTTTTTTATTATGTTCACGATGAACGTGGCCGACTAGCAATGTTCTAGTCCGGGGCGTAGTCACAACAAGTAGGTTGACGGGGTGGAAAATCCCTTCGGATCTCCTGCTCCTCGGAGACTCAGGACCTGTCCTCCCAGAGTTGGACTCGGAGTCCTACTCTGGGAGGACCCGGACCATGGTCCTCCCCCTAATTGACACCATGCCTAATCAGGCCCTAACCCAGGGGAGAACACTTCCCCCCTCAATCGCGGCATGGAGGCCTGATTGCATCTTAATGCAATCAGACTGACAATCCATCATCTAACGCAGCAATCAATCTGCTACCAGAGGTCCCCACTCTCTGGCTGCCCAAGGCCCCATCAATATCTGGTATCGTCGCCGACATCCTATACGTTCGGGATCGGCCCTCTCCCGATTCCGTTCAGCGGTCTCTTTCTGGAGCATTACGCTTCACAGAAAGAGACCACTGCGCCTAAGGTCTCGTATGCCTAATTTATAAAATTTGTCGTCTTATCGTGTTTTGGAAATCTTTCTGATTACAATTGCAATATAAAAGCTGTTAAAGTGTCTAAGGAAGTGTCCAACTATTGGCCACTAAGCTGTTTTGGGCTGTCGCTGTGTGTGTCAGCTGTGTTATGGATGTTAATATAAACACTCGATTTGATGAGTAGGTAATTCAGAGTAAGTAATTTAGGTAATTATTTAGCTTTTCTGAGTACAGAGTAATAACGTAAGTGATATGAAATAATATTAGGCGATAATCCAATTTATCGTTTCACGTTCACGTCAGTTCCACCAAATGTCACTACCCCAATTCATCCCGTGGGTGTCGTAAGAGCCGACTAAGGGCGCAAAACAACGCAGGACACCAGCACTGCAAAAAGACGTAAAACTTGACACAAACGCTATACCAACCCGCCTGGCCAACGTGGTATAGTAGGCCAAAACCTTCTTTCTAAGGAGAGGCCTATGTCCAGCAGTGGACTATTAAAGGCTGTTGATGTGATGTGTGATGTGGCAGTTCCACGGTTAAATATTTTTGTATTCTACTGATGTCTTAAATAGCCATCTTTACACAGTATAAATGAAGTCGCTTTCCGTTCTTGTAGGCTTATATCTTTCAAACTTCATCAATAGAGTGATTCAAGAGGAAGGTTTATATGTATAATACGTATGTATTATACATATAAACATCTAAACCAGGCGAGGCATCACACAGGTGCAATATAATAATATGTATTGTTGTTATATTGCACCTGTGTGATGCCTCGGCTGGTCGCTAGTACGTAATATTTAAAAGTAAGTAGGCAAAATAACCTGGGGACATACGAATGATAAAGCGTACATTTCCCGCTATTTCATTATTTATATGTTTGTATGTAAGGCTAAGATGTTTAGTTAAAAATCTTACAAATTGTTATGTATTTATTTATCAGACAGGAACAAGTGCACTATTCTTCGCAGCTCAGGGCGGTTTTTTAGACATAGCGACACTACTGCTCGACGCAGGCGCAGATATCGATGCGCCCAGTATGGTAAATATACAGATTTACTTTACTAATTCGTAATACCAATATTAATAGTACTTACTACCTGCCCATGTGAGTCCAGTAGGACCAAGGTAACTTCTATTCCACATGAAATTTTGACTCATTTTCAGAAACGTTTATATATTTAAAAAAGTGTCCTCTATGTTTTACTCTTTGCAATTGTTATCAAAGGATACTGCCGGTCTACACTAGATGGCGCTGTCACAAGAGTTTTTATACTAACCGAGAGAGAGCGCTTACGTCAACTGTGTGCTCGGGCAATTTTGTTATTGTGCTCATCTCAAATGTTTATGTACCAACTCTTTTTTTTTGCTATCATTCAAACACAAGCTGAAAATTCTCCTACTGGAGTAGTAAGTAATACCAGTAAGTAATACCTATATAAATAAACTTACTATAGAAAAATACTGTGCAGTGACATGTAAAAAATACAGTGTCGCCACCCCTATTCATCCCAAGGCTGTCATAAAAGCTGACTAAGGGAGCAAACTACGCAGGACAACAGCACTGCAAAAAGAAAGGAAAACTTGAAACAAACCCGTCTGGCCACCGTGGTATAGTATGCCAAAACCTCCTCTTTAAGGAGAGGCCTATGTCCAGCAGTGAACCAGGCTGTTGATGACAGATAAATACCATCAGATAGAATATTATTAATGTAGTGTTGTGTTACGTTACAGGACGGCGGCACACCACTGTTCGTGGCGTGCCAGTGCGGACATCTGCCGGTTGTCGAAGAACTTATACGTAGAGGCGCCAATGTCAACTCTTCTATGAAGGTACTCACACAATGGTTTATTTATATTTTTGCCAAGTTAACACTCCAAACTCTCACATTGCCGACATACGAGTACATCTGACAATTCTGACATCACTCGCTCACATACTTAATAAAATAATTACATATTATTTTTATAATAAAAAGGTATAGGTACTGATTTTGTATACTCGAACTATATTTATTTTTATGTTATAAATTACCGAAAAAATCATAAAAATATTATTTCTTAATTTTTATTATGAAATGTTTTACTTAAAGGTATTAAAAAAATACCTCATTTAACCTCATTAAACTAAAAAGATATAAATATAACAATAAAAGTCAAAGAAATACTTACCGATCAATCAAGTACAGTCGTCAGCAATAACATAAAAAATGATATTTCAAAAAGTATATTTTATTCAGTGGGCAACATTTTTTTATATGTTCGCAGTTCTATGTTAGCATGTAAATTTTTACTTGTTTGGTTTGTCATAATTTTTCTCTCTTATCCGGTTTCGCTTACATTAATTTAAGCTAGTTCTTTTTGTTTATTTTTTTCTAAACTCGGGGATAATAATTACCTTCGGTAATATTATGAAGTATGCGTATATTAAATGACTGCCAAAAAGGTCAAAAATCGATGTACGTAATAATTAAAAATATGTTTTAAGTATTATAATATGAATTCAACCCTCTTCTTTATTTAAAGGACAAAGAAAGTTTCTCTTTTGTGGTTTTACTGAGAATTGAGTTTTCGATTTGTCAACTTTACCACTCAGTAGTTATTTTGATTTACTTTAATGCAATATTATTTTCCATGAGTGAGTAAATCAAGTGTAATTGAAGAGATACGTTTGTATATATGTGTGTCCAAAACGTAATAAGTGTGCGGCGGTCAGGACAAGGCGAGCCCGCTGTTCATCGCGGCGCAGAACGGGCACGAGGAGGTTTGTCGCGCGCTCGTGCGGGCGGGCGCGCGGGTGGACGCGCCGCGCCTCGACCGCGCGACGCCGCTCTGGATCGCCGCGCAGTGCGGACACCAGCACGTCGCGCGCCTGCTGCTCGCCAGCGGCGCATACGTCGACCACGTGCGACAGGTACGTGCTCGTGTTAGCGAAGGGGTGTTGCAAGTGAGAACGAAGGCAATAAAAAACATAAAAAGAATATATAGTTTATAAGGATTAAGGAGTGTATATAATACTTCGAGAGATAATAGTTCGAGCGGTTTGAGACCGCGCAACTCAAACTAGCTGTTACCCAAAAACATGAGACCTCAAGCATAATTGACATCTTGAACTTAATAAAAAAAAAAATGTTAGAGTGGGCAGACGAGCAGACGGGTCACCTGATGGAAAGTGACTGTCGCCGCCCATGAACGTCTGCAACTCAGGAGTCACAAACGCGTTGCCGGCCTTTTAGGAAGGAGTACGCTCTTTTCTTGAAGGTCGTATCGGTCCGGAAATACCGCAAACGATAACCAGTTCCACAGATTAGTTGTACGAGGCAAAAAGTGTCTCGAAAAACGCACAGTAGTCGTGCGCCAACTATCCAGGTAATGAGGATGAAAATTTTGCCGTGTGGAACGATGGCGGAAATTTGCAGCTGGTATTAACCCCTGGTAGTAGCCCGAACAATTCCTCGGAGCACTTTCCATGACAAATGCGATAGAGAATGCAGAGTGAAGCCACATCTCTACGTAACGCCAAGCGATCGAGCCGATCGGAGATGTTTGGGCTATCGACGATGCGAGTCGCTCTTCGTTGGATGCGGTTCAGAGGGAGAAGCTGGTACTGAGGTGCCCCTGCATAGGGATGAGAACAGTATTCCATATGTGGCCGGACTTGTGCCTTATAGAGCTGAAAGCGGTGGGCCGGAGTGAAATACTGCCTCGGTCTGTTCAGGACACCGAGCTTCTTCGAGGCCAATTTGATCTTACCCTTTAAGTGACCCCGAAACTGGACTTCGCTCGATATGTCGATGCCTAGGATTCCGATGCTAGCTGAGGCAGTTAGGGAGGTGCTCTCAAACTGAGGTAATACGACAAATGGTATTTTTTGCGGTGAACGCCCATACCTGTGTCTTTTTTAGATTAAACTGGAATATATTTAGTCGGCCCCAATCTAAAACATCCGTTAAGGAAGTTTCAATTTTAGACACAAGTTTGTTTCGGCTCTCGATGACGTTTTCCCGCCCGGGCGGCCGGTATAAAGGGCATCTCCTGTGTCATCATCTGCATAGTAATGGATGATATTAGTTTGCAACATGTCATTGATATGAAGAAGAAACAGTGTGGGTGATAGTACACAGCCTAATAATATTATGTATTTATTAAAACATACGGGCCATACTCCTGACTAATGCCAAGATCATCTACAAACAGGACGGAGCGACGCCTCTATTTAAGGCGGCACACAAGGGACACGCTGCTGTCGTCGCGGAACTGCTCAAATATAAACCGAATCTGGGATTACTGCCGGTAAGTTTTTTTTTTCAATTTGCTTAGGGTGAATACGGGTAGTATGAGAAGATTCGTTTAGACAGTTCCGGTACAGAACTCAGAAGGCAGGAGGTTTTTTTTCACTTTAAATTTGATTCAACGTTACGGGATGTTTATTTGGTTTTTCTACATGAAAATTTAATGGTGAAGTAAGGTCATCCCCTCCCGCAGAACGGTCAGTCGGCGCTGCACGGCGCGGCGATGTTCGGTCAGTTGTCGTGCGTGCGTCTGCTGGCGCGGCGCTCGTCGCTGCGCCTGCGCAATAGCGCCGGCCTCACGCCCGCGCAGGGCGCCGCCGCCGCGCGCAAGGCCGACGTGCTCGCCTACCTGCGCCGCCTGCACGACGCGCCCCCCGCCCCGCCCCCCGACCCGCCGCGCGACTCCCCCCGCGACCTGCCGCCTCACTGACCGGCGCCATCCTTTAGCTTTCATACCAATATATCGACCCTACTGTTTTGGCGTTTACCAAGTACACTTATTTTACTTGGCATCGTCCACCATATGTTTATGTTATTAAAATCGACACAAAATATGAAAGGAAAAACACTACCGATATGCCGATTTTAATTATCTCCGAAAAGGTTGTCAAAATAAATAATAAATGAATAATATTAAAAAACTATTTTGAAATAATTACCATTATAAACGAACAGCTGAAACGATTCAACCCACGAACTAGTCAAATTAGTGATCTTGAGTAACTGTCCAAGATCATTTATATTAAAATCAAACAAAAAATATTCACGCAGTACGAAAAAATAGATTTTTAATCATTAATGAAAGAGTAATATTTTTTAGGAAAAAAAAAAATACACATAACTAATACACAACAAAGTTTAACACGAGCACTTCAATTTTAGTCAGTTTGTGGATTGAATCAATTATTTGGACTCTCGTACTACGGAGAAACCGAAGTAATTTTAAAACTAAAATAAACCCTCTATCAAGAAACAATTGTTACACACTTTATACAATGTTACTAATAAGTAAACAAAACATCAACATTATTTAGAATCATTATTAAGAGGAATACAACAGATCTAACTACTAATCTCATATTCCTATACATAGTTACTAATCGACTATTTTATATGTAATGTACTCGCGCCATTTATAGCTTTACCCACTCGCCTTAAGCAATACCTCACGGATATTATATATTTTGTATCTTCGTATAAACGGTAGCAACTTTTGAAGATTGTAGTAGCAAAATGATAATGAAAATACCTGACTATCTATTGTGTACGTGTCAGGTCGTAACCGTAATCGTCTTAAAAAATTGAGGTACCTATAAAAAAATTAAACGTAGTAAATGGAAATTAAACTGTGCTTTACCAAAGATAATAATAATAGCACAAACAATGCAGAGCTTATATTGTCGATTCTAAAAACAGAACATATACAAGATAAGAGATTTGAGAGCCTGGAAATGAAGGATAAAGAATGCGCTGAGTTTTTCCAAAGAAAAAGGTGAGGAGAAAAGTTCGCTGCCGTTTATATTATATTTAATTAAAATTATGTTTATTATTGGTGCTGAATAGTCAATAAGCAAAAGGTATGATGTGTTTTAATTTTACACTAGTCAACGTAGTCGCGGTTGAGGTACAGTTGTCGGGTAGGTATTAATTTAGTCAGTAAGTATATATTTTTTTCTATGTACACATAGTACATAAATAAAAACTTACTGAAACATTTTTGTACCATAATGATATTTGTCATTCATATTCGTTTTATGTTTTCATATTGTAAATTGTAAACATTTTTATTAAGTCTTTGTTTTATTTGTTGAAGCAGATAAAAAGTGTTACCCAATTTGGCCAAGTAAAAAACAAATGACAAACTTACATTTACTCTTTCTATACGTATATATATATATATGTCTGTGTAGGTAATATTTAAAAAAACGGTAATTCATCATGTCAATTACGAAGAAACAGGTTCATAAATTCAAAATTTCACTTATTTTCGTCCGTGACTGTACACGATCGCGATCAATTTTACTCATCGTAGTTTAGATGTAACAAAAACATATTTTTCATACAATCACATACACAATTATGTAGTTTATAGAATAATGTTGTTGTAGCAATCGTTTTAAGGTTATTTATTTGTATGTATGCTTCGACCTTATCTATTCTATACAATGTACTGTAATACCATAAAGAGAGAGTTTGTTTAAACGCAATCATCTCTAAAACTATCCGTCAGATTTGTATGATTCTTTTTGTATTGTATAGATTATTTATTGAGGAATAATATAAGATATTAAACATCACGCTACGACCCTTGGAAGCGGAGCAGTAACTATAAATATAAGTGAAACTGCGCGGAGTGGCTAGTTTGTAATACTTAACGCTCAATTTTAAATTGTAAATGGAATCAATTAAAATGTCTCGGTTTAGAATCTCTTATTGACTTATGTTTTGGTGTATATACTATACTTAATTTTATATTTCTTGTATCAAATAATGAAGTACATTTGTTCATAATAAGTATCGGTTAGGCCCCGTCCGCACAGCGATATTTTACCGCGCGGTTTATTTCGCAAAATTCTGTAAAACATGGGATCTATATAAGACTACCCGCACTGGCGGAAAAAAAAATCGCGCGTTAAAAATCTGTGTTTTGATACAAAATGAACGCGCGTTGAAATATCGCTGTGCGGAATTACCTTAAGGTTTAGGAATTACGTCATCAAAAACGTATATTATTATGATCTGAGTACACACGAGTTGTATTAAACATGGTGTCGCATTCGTTTAAGTTCTATTATTGTTCTGTTATACATAAGTATAGTTGTTTTGTATTAATATAAACGTTTTATTTACATTGTTTTTTTTTCGTAACCTTTTATTGAATATTATTTATATATAAAGGTAAGTTTTTCGTTATCTTTGTATATAAAATTCTCGTGTCACAATGTTCGTTCCCGTACTCCTCCGAAACGGCTTGACCGATTCTCATGAAATTTTGTGTGCACATCGGGTAGGTCTGAGAATCGGCCAACATCTATTTTTCATACCCCTAAATGGTAAGGGTGACCCATCCCTATTTTTTTTTTGTTTTGCAATACAATGTTTGCCGGGTCAGCTAGTATTTGATAATATTTTCATATACAACTTTATACGGGGCAAAAAGGTTTTGACTTATTCCTTTTATGGCCGGCCAATTGCCTGACGCAATGCCTCTTTGGGAAAGCAAATAATCGTTCGTTTTAATTAAGAATGGAGATGAGAAGAGTAAAGAAAACGAATAGAGTGAAGGAGTCAGAGCTAAGCTGTAGTAGCAAGCCTCGAGTCTAAGATAGCAGTACCTCGATGATTAATTATATTTACAACTCCTCCAATTTAGGCAGTTTAACTTTTCCTGAGACTTCCACATCCAGTGTCCCAACTGGACGTGTTCTTGGGTCACTACTGTTGAGCCTGGTGTATAGGAGTTTTATTTTATTTATAGGTGCTTCCCGCAAATACATTGCGTATGGCGGACAATGCTATAGGCATTTTCTGCATGTCAAAAACCATTGGGTGATGCAGAACTGTGTGTAACTAGTGTATAATTGAAGCAAATGAGGTAAATTACTTAAATTGATATCTGTTACAAGTCTGTGTGTTGACGGATTAAGAATACTGAGTGTCACCACCCCTATTCATCCCGTGGGTGTCGTAAGAGCCGACTAAGGAAGTAAACTACGCAGAACAACATCACTGCAGAGAGAAGGAAAACTTGAAACAAACCCTATACCAACCAGTCTCGCTAGCGTGGTATAGTAGGCCAAAACCTCCGTTTTAAGGAGAGGCCTATGTCCAGCAGTGGACTATTAAAGGCTGTTGATATGATGTGATGTGATGACAAGAGTTGTCCTACATAGATACACTAGGACGGTAGTGGGTGTGTGTAAAGGAGCGACTAGTCTCTTGGCAGAACTTGGTGTACTTGGCAGGTGTCCAGTTGAGCACTTGTATGTTCAATGTTTATGCTGTTTTTTTTTCTTTTTTATTTGAGATACCTCCACGACAGAGACATCGTCGATAATGCATATTAAAAAAAAACTTTGTTTATAGTAAATGCAACAGGAACATCTTTTCAATTCGATTATTTATATCAATATTTTGTATAACGATAAAATGGTTACTCGACTTCATACGCATTACTTACTTCAAACTCTCTTTATTTCATAAAAAAAAAAATTGTTTGAAATCGTCTTTTATGTAGACTCTAAAGTCATAGATCGATCAACACACACAAAAGTAACAATCTCTGTTTTGTCAAATAGTAAGCAAATAAATTTAACAAAAATCAAACCCATACAAAATCTATAATATGCCTGTGCCGATCTACAACTGCTCGTTTCCAAGGGTTTGAGTCTTATGAGAAGAAAGGGCAAACAAACTCATGGCCACTCTTTTGCAAGTCACAGATGGCACTATTAAATATACCACAACATTGTTTTGATGTGTGCCAGTGTGTCCGTTATTAAGGACTAAAAGGTAAAAAGACAATGAAGAGAAAACAAGATTAAGAAAAAAAAGGATTAAAAGAGAAAATGAAGCCCTATACATTACATCTGGAATCTGGGGCAAAACTGAAACACAATTCTTTATTAAGCATATATTTACAAAAATATCTAAATAATACTAATTACATGATATTTTTAAGTCACTGGGGTCGAGCACCACGTTTATATGTCCATGTCCAGCATTGGACCACCGTTAAAACCTATGGTTAAGTTCCTATGATCTATAGTAAATATAGATCATGGAAATAACACTATGTTCTCATCTATAGAAGAATCACTCATTAAGGCAAATAATGAGCATTTCAGTACCAAAACATTTCACCTGCAGACTCTGTTGGATGAGTCATATTTTTTGAGCAATATCATATACATATGTAATACTACAATCCATCACTAAGTAAAATACATAAAACTTCGCAAGTACCTTAAATACATCCCTAATACGTCGAGCAAAATCTAAATATATACAATATACATATAATAATATCAACAAGCAAAGTAACAAGTCTTAGTCAAATATAATTTGTACTTTCTCATCAAGTTCATACATTTTTAATATATATAATGTTCCATGACTGCAAAAAATAGAAATGAACTTTAATTCAATACTGATATGACAATAGGGAATATGCATGTATTTTTTTTATTTTTTTAAACGATTCTACTAGTTATTACATTACCAAAAATAAATATAACACATCCGAAATATAAACCGTTAAGCAAAAAAAAATTTATTAAAATCACTATCATTTTGGGGCAATTTGAACACGTCCATTTTGGCGCGCTTTTTTTGTGATGTCAGATTACACTTTCAGACGAATTCGATGTCAACAACGGAGTGAAGTTCACAAAGTTAAAAAAGTGAGTAATAAAAATTAACTTATTACCATGGAAAAGCCTATAAAAACTTATTATAAATATTGTGCCATTCCTTTGTGCCCAAATAATATCAAAACTGCACCTGACAAAGTATATTCAGTCATTGTGTTGAGTCTTTCTACACGGGAATTTAATAATTTAACACTGAAAACGTATTAGTTATTAACTTAAAATGAAACAAATAATCACCAGAAACCAATTATTACAAATACACACAACTTGTTGACACTCTTGACAGTGTAGGTTGACGTCACATTTTATTCAACCAATAGCGTTGCGTTTTAGAAATTTGCGAGGGAATCTTAAAAAAGCCAATTTTTGACGATTAAATTTCACTATTAAATTATAATAAATTTCAAAAATAATTGTATGGGTATCTTTTTTTAGCAATAAAAATTACAAATAAAAATATTTTGTCCATTTTGGTGTCACGTGCATATTCCCTATTCTTTACAGATTTTCTTAACTGTATCTTTTTTTTCTTTGACCTGTATTTAATAGTATTGTCATACTAGAAGACTCCCTATACACTGCCCAAAAATAATTAACTTTATTAATGTTTATAGTCAAATGAGCAGATTATAAGCATTATCTACCACATTAAGAGGCTTTCGTTTAATTTCCTTTTTGGCACTGTTCTAACATGTCATGTGCAGCAATGGCCAAGTGATGTGCGGAAGGTCTCATGGCAGACATAGATTCTGTGCAGCAGTAGAATAGAGCCAGAGGATGGGCGTACACTTTCTCGGATATATTTATAGGAACTGCCGGCCTGGTACCTGAAATTGTTCAAATTAATTTGTAATAATGATTCACTCATTTTAGTCTTATGTGTCTACATATGGGAGTTTAAGGCATTACACTAATTTATGGGGCAGTTGTGTAAAAACAAAGTGTCGCACTATGCCGACTAAGGGAGCAAACTACGCAGGATAACAGCATTGTAAAGAGAAGTAAAACTAGACACAAACCATATACCAGCTTGTCTGACCAGGGTGGTATTATAGGTCAAAACATCCGTTCTTAGGCTCTCCTTGGAACGGACGTTTCGGCCTACTATACCACCTATTACATACATTTGGCCTACTATACAGTACACAGCAGTGGACTGTTATAGGCTGATGATGATGACGTTATGATGTAATTAAAAACACAATGCAGAAAGACAGTCCAAATATATTTGAATAAAAGCAGTTATATATTATCACTTACCATATTTATCACTAAAGTATTCATCAATACTCTCGTCCAAATCATCAAGGCACTGTACACTGTTCTCCATGTAAGAATCATCGTCATCCTCGACCTGAGTGTGCGGTGGCATTAACGCCATCATCTCCCAGAGTGTCAAGCCCAGTGGCCAAATATCTGTTTTATCACAGATCTGACCACCGTGGATGACTTCAGGAGCACTCCATGCTTCTGTGCCTATAATTTGAGAAAAGTAAGAAATGAAATATGAAAATGTTTATTTTATAACAAGGAAATTTACAAAAGTATAAGTATATCCTTTATGGTGTATCCTTATCTGTGAAGACCTTTAATTGGCTAAAACTTTTATATTATTGTCACTATATCAATGTTAAAGCTGTTGGTTTTCCTTCAAATAAATAAATAAATATACTAAACATAAAATTAGTGTAGCAGATCTTATCAGTTAAATATTTGATTGTAAACATATTAGAAAGAAAAAACAAGTTCATAAAATATCTAAATAAAACAAAAAGATAAGTTAACAAAAAGAAATGCTTAAAACACCACAATATCAAACGAAATTGATATTTCTTAATGTTCCCTGAACATATTCCTACGAGATGCTTTTAGAGTATTTTGTAGGTAGTGTATGATTAAGTGTCTTTTTGTTTTTATATTGATTATTGTTTGTTTATCTGTTACCAGTCTATTGTATTAGGTAATAACCTGTAAAAATAGATATAGGTGTGGATTTTTTTTTATCATGTTTATCTAACTCACCCAGGAACTATTAGTGAATTTCTGTTTTCTTGCCTGCATTTTTTTTCATTTAAACAAACAAATTTTTAAATCTAGGCAATTAAGGTACATTATAAAAAATGGTATTAAGAAATATATTGAGGTGATGTTAATTAGATGAGGTAAATACTTAAGCTACACTTTTTCTTTCCTAGTTTCAAGTACTCAGTACTAGATGACGCCATCATACAGTTTAGTTTTACAAATACTGAGGGCATACATTTAACAGATTGTTGTGTACTGTGTGCCACTTATAAAATTAGATACAAATTTGAATCAAAACATTGTAGTTACCAAAATATACAGATTTTCCTGATCTACTTTTCTCAAAAACCCCATTCTCATCAAGTGGCAGTGTGACACCAAAGTCGCACAGCTTGCATGTGACAAAGTCACCGTTAACAAGGATGTTGTAGGACTTCATATCTCCATGGAGGATCTGCATTTTTGTGTGTAAGTAATCCAATGCACTAGCTATGTCTGCAGCTACCTGGAAGTTTGAAATCATTTTTAAACCAACGATGGTGCACAAAAACTTAACGATTTGACTGTTGCTCTAGTGGTTAGTGACCCTGGCTGCTTAGCTAAAGGTTGTGGGCTTGAATCCCAACTGGGACAAATAATTGTGTGATGAGCGCAATCATTGGTTGGGTGACTGGGTGTAATTTATAGATAATATGTATGTATTACAAAACATAAGTATTTTTATCGGCAGTCTGGTTACCATCACATAGTTCTGCCTAATTTGGGATTACACACCCGTGTATTACATGTGTGAGGTTTTTATTTTCAATGTGTGCAACAAAATATGTGTATGTTAGCTAACTTCATATAGAAAATATCTAGGTTTTTTTTTGGGAAAAATTGTGTAAGTAAACACTTAGGATTATGCAGCATGAGTATTTTTTTAAATCAATATCAAAAGGAACTAATTTAAAAAAAACATTGCTTGGATCACTGAATTTGATGGCAGTGAAAGAACAAGTTGGTTTATTAAAGTGTGACATATTTCAGGTAATATTACCCAAAAAGAACCAGACAGGATTGCAAGTTTAAGACAAAAAACGTTTTTTGTCACCGAATAATAATTTTACAGATTAATGGGGAACACAGGACTACAGAAGTGTTAACATTTATGAAAATAATTAGGTGCTGATGTTGACATTCTTCTGATATTTTATTGAAATACTTACTTTAAGTATCTGCCTTGGCAAGAATGCTTCACCGTCGTCCTCAATTCTTTTCTCAATCATATCACCCAGCGATAGGTCACATGCTTCCATACCTAAGTACAGAATCTTAGAATTACCGAATGCTCTAAAGCCAACAATGTTGGGATGAGACATACGTTTCAAAAGGTCCGCTTCAGCCTTCAACCGATCTGTGTACACTTTATTGGGTTTTACGCGTTTGTTCAACATCTTTAGTGCCCATGGCGAACGAATTTGTCCCGCACGGGGAGATCTTACAAGCTGCATTACATTCACACCTAAAATTAACAGGTTTACAGGTTTTTTAACAAGATACCTCTAGTAAATCAATGATAAAATAAACCATATTTTAATAAGTAAATACATTGCACTAATTACCTGTGCCATATCCAAGTCTGTTTAAAAACGGTGACGGCGGTATAGTAATTTTGTCGTTAAAATTCATATTTACTGTGCCTTTAATAGGAGTCTTAAATTCCGTCATTTTCTAAAATAAATTACACAACGTGGTTTCTTTCTAAGTTCTCTCTAAGACCGTTTCCTATTATTTGAAATTTGAATTCAAATAACAATGAAACTTTTGACGTAAATGTGACGTAAGGCAGTGCTGCCAACATAGACGAAAAGTATTGAAATGTCGCGGCATAGCCTTGTTTCATATATACATATGAAACAAGGCTATGCCGCGACATTTCAATGCTAAAGAAGGATAGAGACAGGTATGAATATCGTTAAGTGACTCGTTGCTAAATTAGAGTAATGGAACGTTAAAAATCATCCGTTTAGAAATTATTGACAAGTTTACATTTTTGGAACGTATGCTTGGAACTCCATGAACAAAGATCGTTTAGTCGAATATTTAGGAAATATTAAAGGAACTTTCTATACACACACCAATGAATTTTTATATTAATCAGATTTATTTTACTTATATGTCATTTTTGTTTTCTATGTATTTTATCAGTCAATCTAGCTTTCATAGTACAAGCTCTGTTCAGTTTAAAACTAGATGGCGTTCTGTGTCTATGTCCGAAAATATTATGAATATTTTGTAGATTGGGTAAAAGATTTCTTCTATTTTTGCAAATTAGTAAGGTTGAGTTTGGTGGGTTAACGAGATCGAGACTGTTTTTAAGGCATTTGTTACCTAGCAGCTCTACGTTATCACGTGGGCGAAGTCGCAACATCGATGCCTCTTTTCTTTCGTTCCCAAGACATTTATTTTACCAAACATGCTTTGACACGACATGTCTACTCATGATAGTAAAAAAAGGCGCGATGGCAGAATATTAGAGAACATATCTATATATAATAGGGGTCTACCAATAAGAACGTCCTGGTTTAAAAATTGAATAAAACACATAATTTTTTATGAAAAATGCATCCGATTGATTTATTTGATAGATAATTTTATGAAATTTATGTTTTAAATAATATATCGGCCAAATGACCGCCGCGGCTCTTTTTGCAGACGGTCACCCGCTCACGCCAATTTTCGATGACGCGGTGCAGCATTTCGGCGGGTATGTTGGCTATGGCTCGTCGAATGTTGGCTTTTAGGTCACGAATTGTAGCTGGATTATTGCTGTACACTTTGGATTTAACGTAACCCCAAAGAAAATAGTCTAAAGGTGTTAAATCACACGATCTTGGTGGCCAACTGATCGGTCCATTTCTCGAAATTAACGACTTACCAAACTTTCCACTCAATAATTAAATGTTCACTCGAGTAATGTGAGGTGGTGCACCGTCTTGTTGAAAATAAAGGTCGTCTGCATCAATATCATCAAATTCCGGAAAGAAATATTCGGTTAACATCGAGTTATAGCCATTCACAGTAACAGGGTTTCCTTCGTCACTTTCAAAGAAGTACGGACCAATGATTCCACCGTACCATAAACCGCACCAAACTGTTATTTCTTGCGGATGCACAAGTGGATTTGAATCACTCCAATAGCGACAATGTTGTTTATTAACAAATCCATTGAGCCAGAAATGGGCCTCATCTGAGAAGATGATTTTACGATGAAAATCGTCATCGGCTTCCATCATTTCCAGTGCATAATCGGCAAATTCACGACGGATACAGTAGTCGGATAGCTTCAATTCTTGTGCCAAAACAATTTTGTATGGGTGTAGGCCCAAATCCCACCGCAAAATACGCCAGGTGGTCATTGGAGAGAGCCCCAACTCTTGTGAACGGCGTTGAACTGATCGATTTGAATTCGCATCAACACTGGCCTGAACGGCTGCGATATTCTCTTCACTACGGGCATTTCTTTGTCTCACAGGCACAGCAGTATCGTGGAGAGTGAATTCACTTTCAAATTTTGTTATTATGTGATTTATAGCGCGCACAGAAGGAGCACTATGACGACCGGTTTTTGCGCGAAGCGCTCTTATTGTAGCGGTAGAAGAACGCGAATTTGCGTAATAATTTTGGACAATTTCCAAGCGTTGGTTTAAAGTGAAACGTGACATGATAAAATGGCAAACCTTACTGAACACAAATGTCAAGAGACGTCAAAGATCCATCATCAAACATGGCCGCTATGAGCTGTCAAAACCAGGTCATCCCTATTGGTAGACCCAGTAGATTTGTAAAAATATTTTAGTTTGTAACTTGCATGATACCCTACAAGGCTCAATTTTTTTTTCATAGCTGATTAAATTATATAAGATGTAGTTAGTTAGCAAATATATAATTTGAATTTGAATTTGAATTAGTGTTAAGAAATTAGGGGAAATAAATAAAAATGTTGAAAACCAAATATTGAACTAGAAAATCATAATTTTATTTCAGTTCCACATATGGTACACTGTGCCTTAAATCTACTTTTTTGGCAAAGAACAGGAACATTGAATTATTTTAGTAACGGCTTAGCATATGAATTTATTTAGTGTTAGTGTGTGTGTGTGTGTGTGTGTGTGTGTGTGTGTGTGTGTGTGTGTATGGGTGTGTGTATGTGTAATTAACAATATAAAAATAAATCAAAATATTACAAAAAGAATTAGCGTCTACTGATGGAACTTCCTAAAGCAATTGTTATCTTTGTTCAGGCATAATTCAACTGCACATTTCTCACAAAATATGAAGGTTTTTCCTTTGCAACTGGGATATTTACACCGTTGCCTTTTTGTACCCCAAACAGGAAGATGACATAATCCATCACGTCTGACGTCAACAGGAGGTAAGATTGCTGAATTGGGCTTCTTTCTCTTTATTTCAATATCATCATCAGGCAAACTTGACGGTCTGCCTCTTTTCTGGGTAATCGATGGCCCTTGCATACAGAGAGTTTTTCCTAGATCAAGTTTGAATTCCCTTAGCTTAAGTGGGGTTGATATTCGCTTCTGCTCTCCAACTCTCTTGTACAATAACCAGCTATTTATAACAACTACATCAAGAAGATGATAAAATACCCTCAAATACCATTTTCTCGTCTCATTTTTATTTTGTATTTTCCTAGAAACGAGTCCAGTAAGTCCACACCACCCATATGCTGATTATACGTTTTGACTACTTGGGGACAATCTACTTGTACATATTTTTTCTGTTTCTTGCAGTACCTCTTTACGGATTGTGACGGCTGCTGACCCACAAAAGATGATGATAAGACAACAGGTTTGTTATCGTACCATAAAACTGTTACGACATCAGTTCCATCAACATCAGCCACCCATTCTTCGGAAAATCCCCTCTCCACCTTATCTTTTTTCAGGTCCTTTAGAGAAGGTTTTTGAAGGTATTTTCCTTAACGACCTTTGTTGACTGTCCCTAACGATTGTATTCCTTCTTTGGCCAAATATGAAATCAGTTCTGGAGACGTAAATACGATACTGAGACCTGGTTTTTAGTTCTATTAGCTAAAGGGATGGAAATTGAGGACCGTCTTGAATTGCGTGATTGCCTGGGGTCATCTAAAGTAGACTCTGAAAATGCACCTGATGTACTGGGCTGAGAAGTAGATCCACGAACATCCACGGTAGCTGGAGACAAACTTCGTGATATTTCTATGTCGCTAGTTGATTCCGGAAAGAGATTGAGGGTAGACTGGATATTGTTGATGTCATCATCGCTTTCAGCGTCCGAATGATCTTCCTCATCCTCACTACCTGAGGGTATATCGGGATAATCCTGAATTTCATTGTCGCGTAATAATCGGTTCGACATAATCTGTAAAAAACAAGGAATTCGTTAGTACAGTTATGGTATGTATACACATGATAAAGATAACCTAAAGCTCACTGTACCATATGTGGCACATCCGTAAAAATATAATTCTAGAATGCAATTAATAGATAAAAGAAAAAAAATACAGTCGAATTGAGAACCTCCTCCTTTTTTTGAAGTCGGTTAAAAAACTAGCTTACCTCTACAAAATTAACACTTTTCACGTTACACAATATTTTTATCCGGTTCATAATCCTTCAATTAATATTTTTTAGTAATTTTGAATTTGCACCAACAAGAAACGTTAAATGATTGTCTCAAATTTCACACTTTGCCGTCGCTTTCGAAAAAGTAATGACATCTATGAAAAATGTCTCTCATCATATCGTTACTACCTTAGTAGTGTACCTATAAAAATCACACAGATGTCACTATGAGTATTGTATAAATCTATAGGAAGCATAAAAGTGGTCGTCCCGTATATGGCACTGGGTGCCTTGTAGGGTTAACTCCTTACCAAAGTCAGTCAAAGAAGGGGGCAAACGAGCAGACTGGTTACCTGATGGTAAGTGACTACCGCCGCCCATGATTGTTTTGCAACTCAGGAGTCACAATTAATTATCCAAGTGATGAGGATGAAAATTTTGCCTTGTGGAACGATGCCAGAAAGTTGCGGCCGATATTAGTCTGGATAATTGCTCGGAACACTCTACGTGAAATATACGATAGCGTACGATGTAACGCCAAGGGATCGAGCTTATCGGAGATCTTTTGGCTATTGACGATTCGAGTCGCTGTTCGTTGGATGCGGTCCAGAGGGAGAAGCCGGTACTGAGGTGCGCGAGATCCCCTACATGGCACGACGCGGGCGACGACGCACTCCGCCCACGTCTAGCTACGCCACTGCATATGGCTCCCTTTTATACATGGTTGAGTTGGCCGGCGCCTGCGTAATGACCTGCAGACTACATTTGCTTATATACATGTATAATTTTGCCAGACTGTTGATATTTTTAGACACATATTGTTCTCATAGTTAATTGCCTGACGTTTCGACCAGATAGCACTGGCGGTGGTCACACGCTGACTGTCAGTCTCAGTTAACACGATAGGTATAAAGTCAGTACCTACGTACTTTATCTCTATTGTGAGTACGTTAATTCTTGCAATACACAAATACTTCCATACTTAGGTATATTATAAATATAAAAGTGAGCTTGTTTGTTTGCTTGTGTCAAACTATTACGCCTAAACCACTAAAACGATTTTGAAAATTCTTTTACCAATGGAAAGCTGTATTTTCAACGAGTAACATAGGATACTTTTTCTGGGGGACAAACTGAGGCGGATTTTCACAGATTGTCTTAGCCTCGGTGTCTTCCCCCTCGGCTAGAAAGAAGCGAGACTGGTGCTCTTGAAAAAGGAAGGTAGGACTGCAGATTCTCCCTCTGCGTTCCGACCGATATGCCTGCTGAACGAGTCGGGGAAACTCTTTGAGAGGGTTATCTCCGATCGTATCAGCGGGCACCTGTCGCGAGTAGGCCCTGATCTGTCGGACTGCCAGTTTGGATTCCGACGGGGACGTTCGACAGTGGACGCTATCAGGTAACGCACCTGATAGCGTCCACTGTCGAACGTCCCCGTCGGAATCCAAACTACAGGGCCTACTCGTGAAGGTGGCGCCTCAGAAAACTGAGGCGATATGGTTCCATGGCCTACGTAAGCGCCAGGAACCACCCAGCTCATGCCTCCGGGTGGGTGACGCTGAAGTCCAGGTGGGCCGGTACTTGAAGTACTTAGGCCTCATCCTGGACAGTCGGTGGAGCTTCGAAGAGCATTTCGTGCGATTAGTCCCCCGAGTGCGCGGGGTAGCGGGTGCACTGCATCGCCTGCTGCCCAACCTCGGGGGACCACGGGAAGAAGTTCGCCGTCTCTATATGGGGGTCGTGCGATCCATGGTCCTCTATGGGGCGCCCGTCTGGTCTAATGACTTGGCGGGTGCCTCCAGCTGCAAGGCTCTACTCAGAAGCCTACAGCGGTTGATGGCCATACGGGTCGTACGGGGTTATCGTACCATCTTGTTTGAGGCGGCGACGGTCCTGGCGCGACATCCACCCTTCGACATTCTGGCCGACATGGACGCGATGGTCTATGACCAAGTCCGTTCTGTTGGTCGGAATGGTGAGGAGGCCGCGCCGGATCATGAGCCCGGAATGCTACGGCGGAACGCGCATACCCAGGCTCTGCGAGCGTGGCAGGCACGGCTTGTAATCCAGGGCTGTGCCAGCCAACGCGCCGTCGGAGCCGTTCTGCCGAGCTTCGAAGCGTGGGTAGGGAGGAACGACTGTGTCACCTACCGATTGACTCAGATGCTTACCGGGCACGGTTGCTTCGGTGAGTATCTGAATCGAATTGGACGGGAGGCCACGGCACAATGCCACCATTGCGGGTCCGACCGGGACTCCGCCCAGCATACTCTGGAGGACTGCCCTGCATGGGAGTCCGAACGTCGAGTCCTGGTCGGACAGATCGGACGAAACCTGTCACCGCCAGCATTAATCGCGGCCATGCTGGCGAGTGGCGAGGGATGGGCAGCCGCGGTCTCCTTCTGCGAGGACGTTATGCTCCAAAAGGAGGCCGCAGAGCGGGATCGTTAGAGGGCCGATCTTGCTCGAAGGGGACGTGGCAGAGGTCGCTAACTCCCCAATCGCCGCCTAAGGGTCGCTGCGGCCACATCTTGGGGCGATGTGACCGCTGTAAACGACCCGAGACAGATGACACTCCGGTGCGGCCGGGGGCTGTCGTCTAAGGCGGGATGCTGTTGCGCCTTTTACTCTGTAGAACAGTGAGAGGCGCGGTAGCGTCCTGCCCCAGGGTGACTTCGATCACTCCGGGATGTGCCTCAGACATGAGGTACGGCAGGGAGGACTCCAGAAGTCGCCGATGCGTTCCTGGAGCTCCTCCCGACTGCCGAGGTAGGCCGCCGCGGGGTTTAGTGGGTAGACCGGTTCTCCGGGAGTCCCACACACGCCCTACGTTTCCCCAACGGAGGGTATGGTGCGAAAAGCATTCCCCGCGTAAAAAAAAAAAAGGATACTTTTTCTTACTTCTAAACGACATTCAAATCTAGTAATAAAACTAATTAATACCGTGTTTAAGCACGTTTTGTTGTGCTCAAACACGGTATGTTAAAACAAACTTCTGCGAAAATTACAGCTATCACAAGAAAATTAGTTTGCGATCACGTAATGATTGCGTATGGCCGATAAGTATTATATACGTACGATTGAAATCAGCTATCATTTATTAAGTTAGGACATATACATATTGAACTTGTACTACATACCAAACTGTGATGTAAGTGAGGACGTGTTTACTTTGTTGGGTGGTTTAACTAGATTCTTTGATGAACTCGCACTAATCAATGTGAAAGCAGTTCGGAACGAATAAACCGCTAAATAAACATACTATAGTGCAATTTAACAGTAAACCATCCTTAGAACCAATGAAGATTATGGATACTTAGTATCATGATATTAATGGGTATTTTTACAAAACAATGTCTTAAGGGATGAAAAAATCTAAAGGGTTAGAAGCCTTTTACTTATAAGATGGCGTAGCAACCTTACTTCTTCTATTTATTTGCGATTATATTTACACACATTAACTTTAACTTGTCCTTGTAGTGACGGATTAAGAATACGGAATGTCACTACCCCAATTCATCCCGTGGGTGTCGTAAGAGCCGACTAAGAGCGCAAAACAACGCAGGACAGCAGCACTGTAAAAAGAAGGACAACTTGATACAAACCCTTTTTAGGAGGGGTCCAGGTAGCTATCTCCTTCTGGACCCCTCCCAGCGCCGGCCCGCTCCTGGTGCGGGCTCCGTCTCAAATTGACCTCTCTTTAGGCGACGTCCGGCACACGCGGACGCCGCCCCCTCGCGGCTGGCCAACTATTGCGGGTGGAGGGGAGAACCCATCCCGTCCACCCGCAGCCACACTCAGGGCGGCATGAGGCGCAGGTGAGCGCGCCTCCTCCGCCCGGTTCGCCGGCGGCGGATCAGGTCCGAGTGGAGGTCGTCCTCCCGGGCCTTCTCCGCCGCCTCCTTCTGCGAGATTACTTCCTCGCAGAAGGTTGCGACCTAGGTAAAACAACTGTCGCTACCGGCTATGGAGCGAATTACGGCCGGTAGCGAGAGATCTACTCCGATGACTGCAGTGAGGGCCCGGCGCTGCGTCGCCCATGCGGGGCAAACCGCCAGCGTGTGCTGGGCCGAATCCTCACTGCAGTCGCAGTGGTGGCAGGCGGGACTCGATTCCCTCCTAGCGACCGAGTACAGGTACTTTCCGAAGCAACCGTGCCCGGAAAGCACCTGCGTCAGCCGGAAGGTAAGGGTCCCGTGCTGCCGCCCTGCCCACTCGGCTACTTGATACAAACCCTATACCAACCCGTCTGGCCAGCGTATTATAGTAGGCCAAACCCTCCTTTCTAAGGAGAGGCCTATGTCCAGCAGTGGACTATTAAAGGATGATGATGAACTTTAACTTGGTTGAACTTTACCTTCATTGAAGTACTTGGTTACTGTGAAAACGATTTAGTATTGATTTTATGATTTGAAGGCTCTGGCCAAATAAATATATAAAAATAATGAACATAAAAGTCCTCGGTTTTTGTACTAGAACTAAAAAGTGGAAACTGAGTACCTTAACATAATTTAACGATAGGGCTGGACTTGAAAAAAACCTGTAAACGTCAAAAATCTTTAACTCACTTTAGTTAAAGATTTTTGACGTTTACAGGTTTTTTTGGTCAGGTACTTCGTCGTACCTACGTACATGCTTATGGTTGACGAGCTGGCGATCTGCGATTAATAAGAATTTTGGATTAATTGGAACAAATTAAAACTTAAAATATAGTAACCTGTAATGTATAGGAAAGAAAAGACATGCAAAGCTGAGGGTTGGATTAGCAACCTTCACTACACATCTAGCTTGTCTTAGTGTTCTAATTTAAATATTTACAATTAGTCTTAATCGTCGCTTTTTTGGCTTTGGGTGGCTCTAAGTCTCAAAACATAGTGTTTTGGGACTTAGAGACATTATGCCATCAACATTCAACATCCCCGTAGGTTTTAGTTGCCTGATAAACCTATCAAGCAACTAAAAGCTACGGGGAACCATGGCCTCCACACGTTTGTTGTGCCGATCCGAGACCCTAAAACTCTGAAACCATACCCTGGAGTGATTGTCGGCGATATTGGAGAGAAGGTTGGACTGAATGGCATTGACAATGGGTATGTTAACATGATAAGTTTATAGAGAACCTTGAAGCTATATACTAAAGATATAATTTCCAAATTATGTTCATGTTCCAAATATAAATCGCTTTATGCTCTATTCGTTCGTTCATCAATCTCTACATTTACAAACTTATATTTTGCGCTGGCAATAAATGTATGTGGTAGTTAGAACGGGGTTAGAACGGGGTTAGTTGCTTTGCCAAATCAAAGAAGCTTTTGCTTTTCTGGTAATAGAGTCGACATTATCTTTACATATATAATTTATAGAAGCATATAATTTTTTTAATTTGTTTTGTGTACGTTTCAAAAACTCAAAAATCTCTGCACCGATTGCGTTCAAAGTCACGAAATTATGATCACAGCGAGTGGCGGGCCATTTAAATTTGGTTGAGATACTTGGACCAGGCCCTTTAGGAACAGAAATGTTGCGTCTCAACATAACTCTTTAGCTTATACCCAGTTTCAATATGTGCATCAAACCACCACAGTTATTAGCATCAGCAGGAATAACATTTGACGGTGGTCGTCTTCTGTAGGTTGCTTTCTCTCGCGACTTACTCGTATAATTCCACCTACTACGTACCTATGATTATTTACACTAAAAATGAAAAAAAAACAATATTATAAAAAAAAAATGCCGATTGAAAAAAACCATAAAAAAACCTATCTAAAAAGCGAAAAATAAACTGAATTATTTTTATTATTAAAAACTGTGCAACTTTTTCTAACTAATTAAATCAAAAACTTTACCTAGTAACTGTAACTTACCTATCTATGCAAATAAATAAAATTGAAGTGTCTGTTTGTAATGTCAAGATAAAAGTTTTTTTCATGCTCACACGGTTATTTGCACGATACCTATGTATGCCTAAAATCTAGTTTACATTTTTTGTCTGTCTGTCTGTCTGTTTGATCCGGGTAATCTTCTAAACGGTTCGACCACGAGCTGTCTATATAAGGAGTAACTTAGGCTATTTTTCCTCTCGGAAAACCCCTATAAAACTTTGCCCGGTCCGGGAACCGAACCCACTAAGGCAGCGCTTTTCAAATTCATATCGATTATATAATATAGGTGTGTGGTGCCGGCATAGAATAGTACCACCCCATTTCTTCCCGTGGGTGTCGTAAGAGGCGACTAAGGGATAAAGCCAGGGAACGGGCAGCAGCGTTTCAGAATACCAGAATACGAAACGTCCTCACGTCCAAAATACCTCAGTGCCTAAAGACGAAATGCTTCAACCAGTGATGACCTACGGAACTGAGACGTGGTCTCTTACTATGGGCCTAATCCGAAAGCTCAGAGTCGCTCAGCGTGCTATGGAAAGGGCTATGCTTGGCGTTTCCCTGCGTGATCGAATCCGCAACGAGGAGATCCGGTAACAAAGGTGGTCGACATAGCCCAACGGATTAGCGCGCTCAAGTGGCAATGGGCAGGGCACATAGCAAGGAGAACTCGGCCGATGGGGCAGCAAGGTTCTCCAATGGAGACCACGTACTGGAAAGCGCAGTGTGGGACGACCGCTTACAAGATGGACGGACGACCTGGTAAAGGTTGCCGGAAACCGTTGGATGCAGGCCGCAATCAACCGTCTACGCTGGAAATCATTGGGAGAGGCCTATGTCCAGCAGTGGACAAGCATAGGCTGAGACATATAATATAGACCGGGGGTACATAGACTCATCACGCCGTTTTTTTTTTATATTCCGTTTTTTTGTTAACTTTCTAAATCTAATAGTATGGCCAATAATAATTAACAGAGAGTACCAGTTGGTTTCTCGTCTTACGATATCTAATTTTCAGAAAATTAACTATTTGTTTTTCTTTTCTGAAGTCCTACATATGCTTGCACAGTCACTCCATAATCGTTTTATATAAATGATCGTCAAATAAGTTACAAGTAACTTTAAAATATGATTGTAACGGGTAAGTATCCATTTACATTGTAACGCGAATAGTTAATTATGTGAAACTGATTCGCGAAGGACGAGTGCCGGAACTTGAGGAAGTGGTGAATTATTGGAAATGTTCAGTAGGCTCTCGGGAGGAATTAGTGAGGAGGGCATTATGTGGAGACATCGGCAGTTATGCAGCGGTCATCGCACAGCGCGGGCGTGCGGCCGTCCCGCAACATGCAGTACACAGCCAGGTAGGACGCGTTACGCGCCGACTCGAGACTTTGTCACGCGTCACTAAACCCTAGGTAGTGCAGTGTTGCGTTATGTGTTTGGTAAGCGGCCAGGTAGGCTTGGGGTCCACCACTGTGAGTAGGCTAATTTTTCACGGTGGTTCTCCTGGATTCCGGTGATTGTGTTTGACAAATTAAGAAGAAAGACGTGAAAGTCCACTTCGGAGTTATAAAACTATAAAATGCAATATTTCTCTACTTCTTACTCTATTACCATTGAGTGTTTTTTTGTGAGGAATTTTCCAAATTTTCCCTTCAATAGCGATTAGTTTTCCTCAGCGTGTCAACTGTGTTTTCTCCCTTAATATTCATACTTGACAATAATTTCACGTGTGATTTTTTGGCAGTTTATGTAAATACTATATTTAGAAGGTGAAGAATGTCCTTCTAAAGCTTATAATAGCAGTAGTTACAGGAAATTTGTTAACAATAAATTGTATGTGAAAATTGACCTTGCCAATGGTAATATATCCATAAGTGGGGGCTTCTGAAGGTTTCTTTAACGCAGCGTAAAGCCGCTTTTATCACACAATAGCGCAGGCTTACAAACAAATAAATTTCTTCTTATTGTTTACGATTAAATACCTAGAATTTGTGATATTAAAACCAATAGTACTTCAGTGTCTCCTACAGCTTTTTGTTTTCTCATGAAAGTTATTGACATCATTTTTTAATAAATGGTTATTCTCCGTCCGTGTAGTGACGGATTAAGAATACGGAATATCACTACCCTGATTCATCGCGTGGGTGTCGTAAAAGCCGACTAAGGGCGCAAAACAACGCAGGACACCAGCACTGCAAAAAGAAGGAAAACTTGACACAAACCCTTTTTTTTTTCTTTTTTTTTAACGTGTGGAAATCCCCTCGGACCGTCACCCCACCGGGGTTTGCGGGGGGGGGGGGGGGTGTCGGACTCGGCGTCATGTGTCATTGAGATGCGTGGAAGTAATGGAGATATGAGACTTAGACTTAGAAAACTTGAAACAAACCCTATACCAACCCGTCTGGCCAGCGTGGTATGGTATGCCAAAACCTCCTTTCTAAAGAGAGGCCTATGCCTTGCAGTGGACTATTAAAGGCTGTTGATGTGATGTGATGAAGATGTGATTCTCCGTAAATTTTTCTTATTTCCTTTAAGTATTGTGTTACCTACGAACTTTTTTAAAGCTATTTTCTGCTATAATTAGCTAATTTCAAAAGGGAGTTTTTCCATTCAACTCCTCTTTAACTTGCGACACAAAAGGAGGGTGTTACAATTTTGTCTGTTCCATCGTAGCTCCTAAACAAATGGATCTGTTTTTTTTTTGTTTGAAAGCTCACGTGATCATGAAATATCTCGATTACATGATCTTCACGAATTATAGCTAAGAGCCATCTTAGTTATAATTAGCGATTGATTTGAAATTTAATGTACTGTTAGTTTATTGCTATTTGAATGGTAACCTTGACCCCTGATGGTGTAGCCTAACGTTCAGTTGATTGTGTGTCCCATTTATTTTTATTTTTTGTGTTTTTTATGTGTTCGTTACGCAAAATGTGTTCTATTGGTGAACCGATTTCAAATACTATTTTTAATTGAATTCATTGAAATCAATGTTAAAGTTTTTAAATTGGTAGAAAATTTTATTTTCACGTCGAAAAATAAGGTAATTAAGGGACAAGTGCATTCATTCTTGTATCACCACGGGCTATCCCGTTAAACAAGTTTCTTATTTCTCTAATCAGATCCTTTCACCCTTTTCAGAGTTTTTCTTCTCTCTCATCTCATTCATATCCTTGTTGTTATTGATGAAACACTGAAGAACGAATGAAAGAGACATAATCCTGTCCGTAGTGGTCGGCATGACCGGAACTGATTCGGTGCCTTACTGTACAACAATATATTGCGTGGGAATATCAAAGAACCAACCGTGGGATATTTATGTATTCAAAAACAGTCAGAATGCAAACGTATGCTTTCATATTTTGTGTCTATACATTACCAAGTAGTGGATGTCTCAGCAATTTCCGCGCTATTCAATGTTTAAATTGCTATGAGTGTGGAACAGAGCGTTCGTTCTTCTTCGATTCTCATAGTTCCTTGATTATTTTAGTCTTTCTGTTGGGTTACGAAGACATCCTCGTATTTATCATTATTATTTGGCCATTGTAAGCAAATAGTGTTTCCCTTTCTTTATCTAAGGGAAATTTTGCCACTAACACCTGATTTCCACTTTAAATTCGCCAGAATTAGATGGAAGAACCATGGTTCGGCACAAATGGGCCAGAGTGTTATCACGGCCGGTCCGTGAAAACACTCTCTTACTCTGTGTACTCTGTTTAGTATTTTTTACTTTGCTTTTCACCGAGTGAGTAACGTAACTGTAGCCCAAAACTCCTTCCGAAATAGAGGAGCGGCGTTCTCAACGAGCGGCCACGCACCCTGTGAGCTTTGAAAATTGGAAGGGTCCATGGGCGGCGGTATTCGCTTACTATGAGATGACCCGGCTGTTCGGTTGCCCCACTTTACATCAAACAAACAAATACCACACACTACACAAGTTTTACAATACCTCTCAAAGTGGTTACTCTGTCTTTGTCATACATTTTCTCATAATCAAGTCAATGAGTTGTGTAAACGAATATACCACCAGCTTTCGTTTATAATTCAGCTCTGAGCTTTAAAAAGGAAAACTTGCTAACAAGCATTATGTTTGCTAAAAGAAGTCTAGAAAGTTCTAGAAAGAATCTAGAAAGTCCTGACGTGGTGACATCCTTCTGTGTCTTTACATTTTCTAGAGCATCAACCGATAATCCGATGCTCCACAGTACTAAAATCAAGACCTATGGAATATGATATTGCTGATAGAGCCAGCGCTACTCTTACACACATCACCACTTATAAATACATTGGTACTATAATAAGCAAAGGTTTAGCTTTGCTGCCCCATTTAGATTCTCTTGGCCAATTTGACATTTAAACAGTAGTCTCTCGTTTACTAGACAAAGTCAAAAATATCTTTGTTGTAAAAAAAAACTATTTGAAATCGTCTTTTACGTAGACTTTAAAGTCATAAATCAACACACACAATCGCAAACTATCTGTTTTTTCATATATTAATCAAATGAATGTGATCCATTGTATCCCTGTGCCGATCTACAACTGCCCATTTCCAAGGGGTTGAGCCAAATGAGCTCATGGCTACTCTTTTTTAATTACAGATCAATATAGTTCCCCCTTTAGTTCTGCTACTTGACGGCAACTAGCCACAACCATATATACTCTGGACATGATCACTTCAAAATGCATACGTGTGCCTACACCCCACACAATTTTAAGATAACAGACCTTCATTCATATTTATACAACACAACACCCGATCATTGCATACAAGCGAGACTACTCACCAAGTTATTGCAGTATATTTACAGTGAATAGTTTTTAGATACATCAATAAATTATCTGTTTTTACGGTATCATCATCATCAACAGACTTTAATAGTCCACAGCTGGACATAGGCCTTTCCTTGGTAAGTGGGTTTGGCCTACTGTAGGTACCACGCGGGCCAGACGGGTATAGGGTTAGTTTTAAGTTTTCCAGGATGGGATGAATGAAACACCCGGTATTCTTAATTCGTCACGACACGGGCGGTTTTTTAAGTTTACACTTTCTTAACTAGTTCAGGTCAGCCTACCATCAGATATTTGCCAAAGTTAATCCGAATTACAACTTTTTTACTGTAACAATAAAGGCTGTGGTGAGAAATTGAGAGAAAGGTAGTTTTTCTTTCTCTAAAGTTCTCTTCTTTTTCTAGTTAAAGAAAAGATGTTTTGCCTTGAAATATATAAATATTTAAGTATAACAAAATTTGTCTAAACTTCCTTAAATATGAATACAAAAGTATTAAAAAGTATTTGTCGAAAACCGAAAACACTTGTCATTCAAAAGCATTCACATTGTACATTATAATGTCAGCTATTTCCGTTAAATTTGGCAAAACATCGCTTGTTTTAATTCTGGTTGATATCAGACCGCCATTGTTCTCTTGTATATTTTAATAATAATGTACAATAATATTTTTACACTTTACTTCATCAACTAGATGAGAATATGTACTTAGTATGGATTCATGAATCTATTGTTTACTATTCCTCAGTTTGTTTAACATTTCATTGATATAACTTTCATTACAACATAAAGTGACGTATGTGACGTTACAATGATATCATACATTTGTTTTGTTAATAGGCAATAACAATATTGAGCTGTACTAATGTGCAAATTGTTTAAGGATTAACGTGCGTACGGATCAACTTTTATTTGAAGGTGAAATGTAGCCACAGAAATACTGGGATGTAGAATGGGGTGTACCGTAGGTATGATAAAAACACACAGTCCTTTTAAGGATGAAATCTATTTCTGAGTACCGAAGCATTATCATGCAGCAAACCAAAGTCTTGTACGTGTTGTACAGTTAACAGTTGATGAAAAGGGGAAGACAGCTTAGTAACCGTTCTTGAAAATACGCTTTAGACTTAGCTTCAGGATGCTTGAAGCTGTGTTATACACTTTTATCAAAGATCTTAGACCGTTGTCCTATTTGTTAATTGTCTAATTAACATAACGATCGTAAATTGTAATAAACTGCAGTTTTCACCCTTATTGGTGGTAAGTTTTCTTTAAAATTGAATTGAACTAAACGGGAAGGATACTCTTACAAAAAATAAATCTAAATCGTTTCATAAGTAAATATAGGTGCATACGTATATACATAAATACTTATGTATTGTGAGTGTTAATTATCACTTATTGTATATGTATTATTTTTAAAAAAATATTTTAATATAATTAATGTAAGTAATCTGGGTATATGATATCCTATTAATACTATATTTTTAATGAAATCACATTTTAAATTTCTTTTGTGCATCTACCATGTTTTAGATTTGTATGGCCCTATGGTTGACTGGGAGGAAATGCCTACAGCATTAAGTCCGCCTTTGTCACATTTGTGCATAAAGTGTAAATAAATAAATAATGGAGTTTTGAGGTGTTAAAAATATTCGAATTTATTCGTAGACTCTACTACCCTAGCAAAGCCGGGACGGGTTCCTATTTATCTATAAATATCTGTACTAACGAATTCCTTCGCGGAAGTCCCTATTAGGTATTACATAATTAGTTTACCTATAATTACTATTATTCTTTAATAAGTCGATTCCTACAAAGCGTGTTGTAAAGTAACGGGAAGTGACACAATACTCTATAATTCAAGTAAAACTGTTTACTACTGGTTACACGCTATTTCTAGTATTGTGTTCATACATTATAAAAGGATATACACATAGACTAACATAAAACACTCTTTGCTGTTGTTTTTTCTTTCGACAAAGTACGCTTCAATTATTAGGTCTTTACCTATGAAATTGCCGTTATGTATGCAATAAGTGAAAGTACTTATTTTTTCAAACTTTTTTATTTCTGTTATTCGAAGTAATCACCCATGCAATCGATGCATCTTTGCCAACGCATTGGCAGTTTATTGATGCCCTTCTTGTAAAAACAGCTGGACGGGAGGCAACAAACTATACAAAGGCATTTTGTACTGCCTCTCGGGAATTGAATTTTTTACCCTCTAAAAAGTTGTCTGAATTTTGGAAAAAGTAATAGTCGGTAGGTGCAAGGTCTGGTGGTCACATCTGCAACCAGCTTTGGTCAATCGGTCGTCCCCACTGCTCCTCCACGACAACCTTGACCTATTATTTATTAACTTTTGGGTAAAGAGCGGTTAGCTAAGGCGAAGTTACTGTATGTAGAGGTGCTAACTCGAAAAACCATGACAGGATTTAACTCGAGTCAACGTTTGAGTACGTAACTTGAATGGAACTCATGCGCAACTCGAGTTACGTCAAGTTACTAACTTGAGTTGACCCATCACTAAACTACTGTCAGCTCATGGTGTTTCAGTTCTTTTTTTAATTTTATAATTAGGTGTTAAGTCAGTCTTAAAATTTTTGACAATTGCAAACCTTTTCCTTCCTCTGTATTTTACCGAGCGAATTAAATATCCAAAGCAGTACAGTTTCGCTCAAAGAATCAAACAATAGTTATGGAATGTCACGCTATGGCCCTACATTTTACAAATAAGTCTTAAGTCTCTTAAATCTTTCATCCACAATGTGCTACAGAATTTGTGTTATTACTTCTTTTTTCTTTTCACATAAAGAGAACTGTATATTATCAGACTGTGTGTACTTGTTTACTGTAGTATAATTAGAATAATAAAGTGGAATAGCTGAAATAAAAGAGAGAAGAAAAAACTTTAAAATGTTCATCGACATTTGAGCGTGGATATTGACAATACAGTTACATGGCTTACATAGTATTATAGTTAACAGCTTACATAATAAATAAGTCATAGCTTGACTTTAATTTATTTGTTATGCACAAGCCCCATTCAACATGAGTTAGGATTGTATGTAGGTATGTCCAATTTGCGAACTGCCGTAAAACCTTCTATAATTCCTTTATATTTATAAATTTTTAATTAATGAAATCTAAAAGAAAAACTAACTAACAACACCATAAACTATAAATTTTATCGTTAGTTATTAAGTTACCGCACTAACCTATTTACTACTTCACTTAAGTTACTTAAATTTTTTTAAATTCCGAATACTATATTCTGGTAAAAAAAAACATTAAATGAAAAGCATCGGTGCACTCGTAAATGAAAAAGTGTCAGTGCAACGATCGTAGTTTGCAAAATTCGAAGTAATTAGAACAGTTTGAAAATCCAATGAAATCCACGCATGACTAATGATTAGGAACGTATTACGCTGTTTGTGTAATCGTGTGAACCTACCGGCTACAGTTCACCGGCAAATTTCGTCGCACACCACTTTGAACCTTATTGAAGTATTAAATAAAACCGACTTTTAGCAGAGGCATTTTTTAAAATAGGCTTCTCTGGGTTATGCTATGATATTTACTGGAAATCACCTGGTGGTTTAATGTCTGCCATCTTAAATATTTGTTTTGTTGCATATATCAGAAGGATAGTTCTCGTAATAAAACTTCGGTCACAATTCAGTTCCGATCAACTTTCGATCGCACAACTGTCATAAAAGGTATTTTCGTTGTAAAGTATTAAATATCTAACGTTGACTGTAATGTGATTATAGCGTATTGTAAACGAAAATTGAATCGGTAATCTGCTAGTCTGCGTAATACTTTGCTAGTTGTGAGCAGGAGCAGAAAGGAGATGACGGAGCGGGACCGGGAGAGGTTCATAACTCGCCCGGCTCGCCTCCGTCCTCTATAAGCGTAGGCCTGAGGGTGACAGGTAAGGCCATCTGTCACTCTAGCAGAAGCAGGCCCCTACGGAGCGCGCACGCGCATTAAGGGAACATCCGGGTTCTCACACGGGGAGGGTTATCTATAAGCCGTAGATGGCTTGAGTTGGTCGGTTTGAGTCCGACATAATCACCCACTGGTGGGTGGTATCCGCGAGGATACCACCCACCAGTGGCACGGAAAAAAAAGGTGGCTCCAGTATGATTCTAATTTAACTTTCAGCCACATCTGTTTCTAGCCGTTTTAGTGAAAGTAAGGAAAACATCACATTAAATAAAAACATAGGTCCTAGATTACAATGGGGACTAGTTACGTGTATTACAGTTATACTACACTTAACTATTATACTTAATGTTTTATTACGGATACAACTGGACCAATACTGCTCCGATAGCCATATTTGTTAAAGTTTTTACTGATGTCCAAATAGTTTCGAGCATGATGGGGCTCTTTATCAGGGGACAAAGCTATCTGCCCCGTCAGTGTAGCATTTATACCATTATAGTATTTATTTTAATAGGACCAAAAACATATACTACTACACCGACTGTCTTCATCATGAAGATGAACCATTGCATTATTATTCAATACGTGTAGTATTTGATTCCTTAAAATTGTGTAAATTAAATTTTAATAATATCCTAGCCGTAACCATAACACATTAAAAAAATATAATTGATTCATAAGTGCGGTTATTGTATAAACACGCACGCAGGTACTCTCTCATATAGTATGCATACCTATGTATAAATAAGTGTCGAATCCGTGGATGTTTAATAACATAATATTCATTGTCGTTTTATTCGTCCCAAGCCATGACTTCATGCTGTAGGTACACTCATGTAGTAGTCGGTACAAGAATTGACGTATTTAAAAAAATATGTGATTAATTTGATCAGACGAGTGATAGCTAGATTTCAATCATGAAAAAAAAAACATATTATAATATTCTGATTGTCACACTTTAAATGCAATCGATTTATATTTTGGTTTAATTATTAAATATTTCCTTACAGAGGCCTATGTCCAGCAGTTGACTATTAAAGGCTGTTGATGTGATGTGATGTGATTAAATATTTTGTTTTGGGTTAGATGCCCGGATAGGACCAAATGTTTGTAGGATCTGCAAATATTTGCTTCAGAGTTTCATTGTTTTCTATGTATAATATGTATGTATTTACAAAAAATAAATGTATAAAGGCATTTCGTCAGTCAATCTAGCTTAGTAATTCAAATTACACAACATAAACTAATTACGTTTTGTATCTATTACAGGTCACACGTGATTTGCTTGGTAATCACGGTTGTTACCTCACAAGCAAACGGTTTCACCATACGGAGGTTAGAACCCTTACCACCAACATCGGACTTAGAATTAGGACAGAGTTCAAAGCTGGAAGTGAGGTACGACCTGCAAACTCCAAAAAGTCCTATCACCCATAAGATAGATGGGGATTTGATCACATTAAAAGAATCAACAACTACCACTGAGATCACGACTAATTCATTTATTGATTTGGCAAGGAGCTCAGGTGAATTACCAATCGTAAATGAAAATAAACATCTAAATGAACATTATCATATAAGTGAGACAAGTTCACCATCATTGCAAACTGTTACTAATGATTTTACTATGACATCTTCATTATTAAACTTTACATCACCAACGACCGAAAATGCAATAAATAAACAAAATAATGAAAGTGAATTATTTACAACTGAAAATGAATTAAAACGGTTTCTCAAATATGCGATTCAAATATCAGATAACAACAGTCATTTAGTAACGTCGACAGAAGCAACAAGCCCAGCGAACGGTTCAATCACTTTAAAATATAACGAAAAACAAGAAAACACAACTGAAAACATGGATAATCTAATGTCCGAAGCAAATACTGCAGTCGGACATACGTTTACAGCAGTACCGCATGATGATAGGGTCCAATATTCAACAGAACTTTTGCAAGACACACAGGCTCCTACTTCAAGCAAATTTAATTTTGAGATTTCAAGCCAACCAATGGGAGAAATAGTTCTTCAGTCAACTTCAAATAATCCAGTACCTGAATTAACTACAAACACATATGCCAGTTCAGATATGACTCAATCTTCTACGGCCAGTGAGGAATCTTTTAAAGTTACAATGATTGATTTTACTACAGATACAAATGATGGGTATCTCGTAAATAACCTTCCGACTACTGTAGACGTTCCCATTGTAGGAACATTGAATACACAAACCGTGAAAGAAGAACCGGTCACTTTAACCTTACCCACTTGGGAATCTTATAAAACCACTGATAGAAATATAACAAGTACAGAGAAAACTGAGGAAAATACTTCGTCTAATCTAAATATGACTAGAGCTGAAAGCACGCGAATGAGTCTAGAAAAAGTACTGACGAATGCGCCAATACCATCGCTGATGGAATTAAAAAACGATCTTATTAACGTCCAAGAGTACACAACCAGAACATATATAAATGAAATGAACGTGACTATTCCGTCCAATTTAACAACTCCAACAATACAAAATACTAGCGATCGAGTTAACTTGCAAACGGAGAAGTTTGATATAATTTCTTCTAAGCGAGCGGGTTACTTAGATAATACAGAGACGACAAGTACGAAGTTTGAAGAAGCAACTACAGAAAATTATATAAACAAAAGTAATACGAAAGATACAGACTCTTTTGGATCAATGTACGAAACAGAAGGTAGCGAGGGCGAAGTGAGTGATGCATTAGAAGTTAAAAATGTAACTGGTCTCGAGTCACAAAGTCAACTGGTAAGTGAAAATACATCAGTATAAACACTTTTCGGTGATTGCACGTAGGACATTGGTCCTATGTTCTTCCACCCTACTATTGCTCACTTCACTGCGTACTTCCATTTTAGTTGTATCTTCTTTTACGTAGGCCATCCGTCTTTTCCTTTGATTGGGTGCTCCGTTCGCATCATTACTATCACTACGATAATCTATAGAAATTTCATCCACTCGCGCTACTTTTATGTTCAATGTAATGTTGTTTTCTCACCTTGTCCACTTCAGCCTTTCAAAACATTCATCTCGTGAACAACATTTTTGAATATGTAGCGTTCCGTTATGTATAATCATGTTTACGGGAATTAATAAGCTCACAATAGGTATTAAGTATAAACCTTTGAATTGCCTGACGTTTCGACCTGCTGTTGACAGGTTGCTCATTGAAATGGCGAGTAGTTTATTATTAGAAGGGCCAAGAGTTTGGTTTGAAACTTATCTAAATACCAGTCTATTTCTACTATTACCACTCTATTTCTAAATTTAAAGAATGCTTACGTAAATGCTTTCACTAATTTCCTCTTTATCAATTTCAGGTAGAAGACGCGATCAAAGAAGAACTATTGATGGAAAAAACGTTAAATGAAAATGAATATTTGAAAGAGAAAGCTCGTCAAATGGAGGTAAAACCCGTGTTGGGTATTACTCCTCCAGTCATTGATGCTACTCCTACACTACATGAAGTAGTAACTGAGGACGTGCTCAGCGTTAAACCAATCACCATCGATAAAAAAATATCAAGTGCTTTATATGCAGTCAGTCCTAATTATAAGCCTCCTAAAAAGTTAGATATCCTACCTACAAAACAATTTGTTCGAGATCCTGACGATAATACTTGGAGAAACGAAAGTATCAGCTCCCTAGGAATTGTGTTCAAACCAAAAAATGCGTCTAAATCTTTTACCGAGGTATTAAAAAACAAAACATCTGAATTGAGTAATATGTCAGAAAAAAATGATAAGAATAACATTCCCGATTTAAGAATAAGGCTCGAAAAAATTGCTGAAGTGAGGAAATCTAAAAAGAAGAAAATAAATGCATTTGGAGACATAGTATATAGCGATTCTGATGAAAATGGCAGTTCGTCGAAGGAAGAAGCTACTTCGCCAATGAGTCCTGAACAAAAATCGGATCTTACCTCCGTGACCAGCTCCCCGCCTTCATCGTCTACATCAGACACCGATGTAATAAATTATATCCCAAAAGAAAATTTTAAAATGTTCAAAGACGAATTTGCCACACCTGTTACAACATTAAAAAATAAATTAAGTAGATTGGGAGAATTCTACGACTCAGCAGACGACTACGATGCGGATTACGTCACAAGAATCGATTTGAAGAAGTTTACTACCTCACCCAAAACTGACACTGATAAACCTAGTTCACAAGATTTTACGCTAAACACTAAACACTTGATTCCAGTCACATACATGCCTAACAGGCAGCCCACCATTCAATATTTCCCACCAACCAAAAAAGTTAAAACGACCGTTAAACCAGAAGTGAAGGTAAAGGTTAATATTAATGAATATGACGACTATTTTAAAAATAAAGTAAATCAGTTCATGTTTACTCATCAACCGAATACGGAATATGATGCTTCTTTTGGTACAGCGTCGCCTGCGCACACTAACCAATTTCAGCCAAACAAACTTCATAGCACAGCGCCATATAGCAATGAAGAGATACACAAGAATTTGTACTTGACGAGCCAACCCCAAGTAACCGACATACAGGGTGGTTTCTTAAACAACGCCAATTTAAACAAAGCATCATATGTTATCAAACATTACAAAGATTTCATCGCTGACGCAGCCAAAGGAAATGATGACGACAACCTCCCATTCACGGTGGCTCCCATTCAGGGCGTAACAATATCTGACATAGACAAGCTTTCTAAACAGAAGGAACTGAAACGGGATGAAGATTACGATTATAACACACAGTTCCGCAAAGACATTGTGAATCGTTTCGTAGATAATTTCAATCAGAACAGTGACAGATTTAAAGTGGATTTTCCGATTTTATATAACAATAGTGTAATACATAGATCGACAGACGATAATGGACGGGGGGTGGCATCGTCGAGAACGTTCATGAAGAGGTTGTACGACTCGGCCAGTCCGAGGCCGAACTTCCTTTCGAATGTGAAGCCGTGCGACGCCAACTGTGAGAGCATGAGGGTGGTTGATCTCGCACCTGCATATGAACTCCACTACTACGTCCCGGAACAAGAAGAAAAGGAAGAAATAGAGCCCCGACAGAATGTATTACCGTATCGATACAGGTTATGAAATATAGATGTTTAGAACGAGGGCTAGGTAACTCATTACTAAGTCGGGTGGAAAAGGCGAGCTGTTGAACTGTTTTGACAACCAACTGACATTCAGCTCGTTTGAAAAATGCTTATAAGTTACTCTTATTAGCTATAAAATTATATAAAATTGGATGAATTTAGACGTGCTTGCTTTAGCGGATAAGTAATATAAATAAATTTGTATAGTTTCATACAGAAAGTTATTTGACAAGAAGTGGTATACCTCATTAAAAATTACACCGACTACTTTTTTCTACGTATGTGTCCTACAAGTTGAAGTATCTAAAAAGTTAAAATTATAATTTAACAAATTCGTCGGTAATTCAATATTGGCATTATTAATTGGTATAGGTACGAATACTGCCAAGCACCTTATTTGTGGAATTTTTTGATATTTTGTTTTTGCCAAGTGTTACCAACACCAAAAAATTTTGTTTAAGATGTTTGCCAGTACCCGCACTATATAAGTGCAATAATGTGCCTACGACGCGGCGACGTATTGATTGATAATATTGTTGTGCTGAATACATAGATATATTTGTAAAAGAAATCGAGAAAGTCTGTGTTTAATAGCATCAATTTGCCAAAGATGTACTTTAAATTAGTAGAATTATATAAAATGTGTGGTAAAAGAAAAGTATATTAAGTCAGTTTTTATAAAACGTAGGTTATATAAAATAGTTAACTTCATTGCATAAACTTAAGAGTTATTTAATGCATTACGTAAACGTAATACATTGTAAGCTTTTATTTAAATATGACATTGCCTGAGATGACTCTATGTGTTATACTGACAAAATCATTGCGAGGACATTGGCCTGACTAATAAATAGGTAACATATACCAAAGTAGGCGCAAGTATTCAGTGTAATTTACAAAATGTATTCACGAAAGTCAATGAACAACTTTTTATAACAACTTTTGCCAGAAGTTTGTGATAGTAATATATAGTTTTATATGAAAGTCGTTTGTTTTATTCCTTTAATACTGTAACATCTTGTTCGAACTTTTGTTAGAGATACTGGTAGAATATGACTCTGACTTTCCACTACCCAATTCAATTCATTTATATGCAACATTTCTTTCCTACTGCTGCCTTAATTCCTTCTTTTCCGTGAGGTGACAGATTAAGATTAATTAGTAGTAGTAAGTATTGTTATTAGTGTCACCATCCCTATGCATCCCGTGGGTGTCGTAAGAGTCGACTAAGGGAGCAAATTACGCAGAATAACAGCAAAGAGAAGGAAATCTTGAAACAAACGCTATACCAACCCGACTGGCCAGCGTGGTATAATTGGCCAAAACCTCCTTTCTAAGGAGAGGCCTATGTCCAGCAGTGGACTATTAAAGGCTGTTGATGATGATGGTCATTGCCTTCCTTTCTCTCGTCTGATCCCAGTAGTTCCATTCTTTAGTTCCATTATGGTAGGTACTATTAGGAATTTTTTCTTCCAGCAATTAACTACAAATGTTCCCATCAGATTTCTTGGATGCTCGAAGGACCATGCTTTAAATTATAGTAGGGAAGTTTTAGGCATTTAATTAGCCTGTCAACCTCTTCTGGAACATAGCCTTAAATGTAAGTTGTATACATACACTATATCTTGGGAACTTCGGAACAATTCAAGTTGAAGATCTGCGTATAAAACTTCGACTGCCTCGGTGGAGCAATGGTAGCGTATGCGATTGCTGTGGTGAGGTCTTGGGTTCGATTCCTGGGTAGGACCAAATGTTTGTATGCTCTGCAAATATTTGTTTCGGAGTATTTACAAAATAAGTATAAAAGTATTCTATCAGCCAATCTAGTTTTCATAGTGCAAGCTCTACTTAGTCTGTAACTAGATGGCGTTGTGTTAGATGTCCGAAATATTATTAAAAAAACTCGCCAAACCTAACGATAGGTACGTGAAATTGGATCTGGGTGCAATCGCTTCGTTTAAAATACATCCTATACAAAAAAAAAAGAATGTGGCTCTCGGTTACTGCCGCGGTAAAGCTATTACATAGCATTTTTTATCAACTTAGTATTAAATTATTATTTTAGGAAAACCCTATAGAATTTTGCCCGGCTCCGGAATCGAACCCACTAAGGCAGTGTTTTCAAATTCCACACGAACTAAGTCGCGGGTACCAGCTAAAACATCTGAAGGGGCCAGATTGTTAGTCTCCTTTTCCCGGTTCAGACAAACCCAAACATGGGAGTCCAAGTGCTCCAGGTACCGAGAAAATCAAAGGGGGGGATAAACGAAAAAAGTGGAGGGGAGAGAAGGGGATGTATTTTGAGGGGACCTCAATGCAATTATAATTTTTTTGGTGAGGGGGGGGGGTATTGTATGTGGATGTTATTACATTAATAAAAATAAACTGGTCTCCCCCCTTTGTCATGTCAAAGGAACACCATACCTTAAAAAAAGTTTTGCTATTCATCGATAGATGGCAAAACTAAAAAGTATGACCGCTGTGCCGGTCGGAGTGGGAGGTGTTAGGTTATTTTCGTTACGGAATTTCTGGATTCGGTCTCCACGCTCAAGGCCCGCGATAGAAGCTATAAAAACTAAGACGACACTATAGCAATTGCGGCCAGAGCAGCCCAGCATCGGAGTATTAGGTTGAAAAAAGTGTCAGAGATCTGGCAACAAAAACTCTTTGTGGGATCATCTCCTCTACCAGAAGCCTGTGTGTGTATACTTTATTTCTATTTATCGCCACCATTTTTCCATATTTCTATTAAAAAAACGCAATTGTGTTTCCAGCTACTGCGGTAACACCTCCTCAATAGCAACACGGACAAATCATTTGTTCTGTTCTGTCCGAGTGCCGTTATGTACAAGTACAGTCCGTGTAGTGACGGATTAAGAGTACGGATTGTCACCACCCATTCACCCCGTGGGTGTCGTAAGAGACGACTAAGGGAGCAAACTACGCAGGACAACAAAACTGCAAAGAGAAGGAAAACTTGAAACAAATCCTATACCAACTCGTCTGGCCAGCGTGGTATAGCAGGCCATAACCTCCTTTCTAAGGAGAGGCCTATGTCCAGCAGTGGACTGTTAAAGGCTGTTGATGATGACAAAATTAAATAACAAAATACTTTTTTAAAATACACTTTATTGACGTTTTTTTTATTTTAGAATAGTATGCAAACATCACTCGATCGTTCGATCATTTGTTATGGATTCTTTACAAGTCACTTTGAGCATAATTATAATATGTATGTACTATAGCTAAATCATACTCGGCTATCTGCACGTAGTTAACTGTATAGGAAATGACATCATCGAGTGGGAAATGCAATTCTGGATCCAATAAATAATAATAATACAATCTCATACAAAAAAAAAACGCAAATTAAAATATTTTCAATAAATGAACACATCGTCTTTGGATAAACAAAAGAAAAAATACCAGAACACTGATTGCGTAATTATTTACAATATAATTAATGAAATTAAATCATTTACTCTCGATTAATGTGTTCATTTTGTTTTTTTTTTTTCATAAATAAACTTAGTATGCGTGTGGAACAAAAGTAAACAACGTTGAATTAAAACAATAAATTGTAACGATTTACTTGACAACGTCAATACCCACGCAATACAACACAACACAATAAAAAAAACATACAGCATTATAAAAAGATAGAACTGCTTGAAACATCAACAGATAAAATGAAATCGATCATTAAATTAGGAATCAAATTCGCTATAAACATACTTCTGCTTTGCTAATTCTTGACTTGAGGAACCATTTATTTATTTACTGGAGCAGAATATAATAAAAACTAATGTAGGTAATACACAGGGTGTAAGGGACGTCGTAACGAATACTGAAATAGTGTAGTCAGACATTCATTCTGAGTCGAAAATCATTGAAATTTTCTGCCGGAAAATTAAACGTTTTATGCAATTAGCTGTCAAACGTTAAGGTCACGTAGGTATCGTAAAAAAGTAATAACTGTAATAATCATTTGTCTTTCGTTCAAACTACGCACACTGACACAAGTTGGCGGCCGGCGGACAGGCCCCGCGCGCTTCGGCTGTATGATTTATTACATGACAGTTTGTGACCATATGAGGTATTTATTAAATTGTTTTCGATAACATGTTTTGTTTACTCATTGTGACATCATTTTTGACAGAAAAATAATGATTTCGATTTCGACTCAGAATGATGGTCTGAATACACTATTTCAGTATTCGTTACGACGCCCCTTACACCCTGTATACATTCGTGTTTATTCATGTGTATTCATTCATAGTGTTGGTTCGGCGTCAAGTTAACCGTACATATAGGAACATAAGATAAACGAGTGAAATATCTAAAATACACCAAAAGTAATATAGGTAACGTTGTATATGACTTCTGTGAAAAAATTCAATAAAAACAATCTGACACTGATTACAAATAATAATGTTGCAAAATATTAGCAGTCCGGCATTTGTTTTTGTCTCTACACTATTACGAGTTACAAACGAAAACGTAAAAAAAAAACTGAATTTATACCTTGGTAGAATTCGATAAAAATAATAAAATATTAAAATACAATATTAATAAAAAAATAAAAAACAAACATTTTCGTTTTTAGGCATAAAGAACAAAGAACAAAGCCGCCCCGCCGATACACTGTTAAACAATAGCAAAACAAAATGCGACATACAATAGAATAAGCAAATTAGTATGTTGTGTTGTGTATCCCATGTCGTGATAAGTAGGTACATGAATCAGTTACTATTACAACAATAATTAATATAGTATAGTTTAGACTAAAAGCGAATATTTACAAGAACACCACTTTACTAGCTAGTACCTGCCTCCCGGCCGCCCCCGCGCGGTGTCTCTGTCCCCCACAAACATAACTTACTAACGATTTATATTACACTCGCTAACGCTTTATAATTTAACTATACTCCCTAATATATTTATATAAAGTAAGCGTACATTAGTTTTTGGTAACGAATACGAATATACCCTCAATTCATTGTATTAATTTAAATCTTAGAAACATAAATTTATCTAAACGGTAGACAAGACTGAGAATGCGCAAAAATAATTCAATTTCTAGTCACTATTGGTGTGGTTTTGGGGAACGAATCGGAACGTTTCCTATTCTACCGTGCATCACCCAGCCCCCCCCCCCCCCCGACCCCCACGGGTCGCAGAGACACCGCGAGCGCGACCCGCCGTACAACAACTTAAACTCGTTACATTAGCCAGTCTTTCGTTTACACTACTCTACACTACAGCGCTCCTCCCAGCTCCGGCGCGTCGTACAACAGCGGGGACCGACCTTCACTTACGTTACGTTTGGACTCTCTATCGAGTGTAGTGTGTAGTGGCCGCTCGGGGCGAGTCAAGAACCACCGGTGACAAATGAACTTAAAAAACATTTTACCACAATGAAAGACAAAAAGTATGCATTTTTTCATTCCAGCGATTTAGGTTTGGGATTGGATACGAACACGGTTATGCATTGTCAAAATATGGGATTCAAAATTGAGCAAAGTTCTGAAAGATCTTTCAGAACTTGGCTGTTATAATATTGAATTTTATATTATTACAATTAAGATATGCAAAACACACACGGATTGCACTGCGTGTGTACATAAAAATGGTAGACGAATTGTTTTATGCTTAAAATGATAATAATTGTAAATTTACATATGGGAGGTTTTGAAAGGTGTATCAAAGTGGACGTAGTCCATAAATGTGTTGTTCACGACGTTATGTTGACAATCGCGTGGTGAGTACGTTTCATTATCGAACACCTGTGCAGTGAAGGGTGCAGTAGTGGAGGATATGGGGTGTAATGAGACGGGAGGTTCGCATTGTTATACAAACACTGAGCCTTTGAACGTTCAAAAACAATTTTATCCATTATTGTTGGTAGTCTATTTTATTATATTACCTTCAGTAATGGTCGAATTTAATAAGCGATCTAATCTAGTATCTAGAGATTTCAAACTTGACATTTGAAGTGTAATACTCTTTCTCGTTCGATATATTCATGATGACATTTCAGACGTCATATTCAATTTTTGTAGATTGATATTAGATCGATTATTAATATCGAGTAAAGTTATTGAGCCGGTAAGCCGGTGAAAAGAGCGGTAGAGTTGTTTTAGTTGTGTAAATATATTTCAAACAAACGCTAACTCAGCAGAACCTATGCAAAACATCCACATAATTTAACAAAAATACAGTATATTAATGCCTTATTGCGATGTCCTCTGACCGTCCTATTTCTAAACTATGGAGGCATATGTATTGTCAATGGCAAGCCGTTAATCGAAACTCCTGTACGACTTTAGTTCTAGAACACGGGAGAAAAATGTCGTTTGAACGTAAAACGAATCGTTGGCACCTTTTATATTTGGCACCACTAATGTTGACCAACCGTCGAGCTCAGGTATTGAGGTGCGACTTGGCGGGCGAGCTGCCGAGCACGCAATGTTCAGTGACCGGTAGATGTGATCGATGCAGTTTTCTCAGTATAATAGATGTAATCGATAACATTACATTAGGAGAGGGCAGAGTTTAATGAGCAGACAGAAATCCATAAACATTTTTATACATAGGAAAATGTTATTTCTTCAAATAACAAACTATATACATATAATATTTAAGGTATTCCAGTTTTTCGTTTTATGTTTTGTGTATTTATTTATTGTTTATTTTTGGGTGCAACAATTTCAGTCCCACCTCAATACTCGAGTATAAAATGTTTAAAATTAAATCCATAATGACTGGCAGCACCAAAACTTTGAACAAATCAAACTCGGCACCCGGTACAATGTATGCAACACTACAATATATAATAATAGCGATAATACACAACGGTGTACAATGTACTTACATACTAGCACCACTATAGCTTTACGTATAGATAACCCGAACTGACTGTCTGTGTGTGTGTGTGTGTGTGTAAATGCAATACCTCTTTATTATTTCAGTGTCAATATGGTTTGTATCGGTGTTGCCATACAAGGAAAATATACATTGGCAGAAAAATACACTCAAGAGTGGGTGATAATTGAGTTGCGTTTTTTTTTTTGATCTGGCAACACCAATACAAATGTTGACAACATTTATTTTTTAAAGACATCACATGGTTTGAGAATTGACTTTATACATACTTTCAAGTTGCATGCAGAACGCCTATGGTTCTCTATGGCAGAACTATACCGTAACGGTGTAATCCCTTTACTTAAAAAACCATAGATGTTTACAGACAAAATTCCTATTATAAGCATCTCATATAAAAATCTTAACGAATTAATGACAATTTAATTAATTGATATATTTTAATAGAAAATAAGTCCACTGTTGCAACTATCGCAATCAACAAAAGCGGTAATCGACGCAAGTACAGTACAATTTTCAACCTTAACATCGTAGTGAGTATGTTCAAATTTCCGTATACTTATTATTTATAACCACATCCATAAAGCTCTAAGAGGAAGCCTCACTATACATATAATTAAAAGTAAACGTTACTTTAAATATTTTTTCATTTAAATATCATTTATAACATATACACATTCATACAAAAGTCTACATCACTAAAGCATACTCGATGTTCCAACTAAAGTTACGAACCGTTCCGTATCTTGATAAATTTACAATTTTTACAAGTGAACGATACAATTTTTTACAATTATTTATCTTTTAAGAAAGCGTATTTATTACCTAACGAACGATTCGGTCGAATTGGATTTAGATTCACACTCGACTAGTAAGTTATTTGGGAGGTGAAATGCAAGGAAGGTAGGCTGAGTCGAACAACATCCATCTGAGTCCTCGGCTTGAGTACCACCCGAGACCACTTTGTGATTGTAGTGCGTCAATAACGACGTGACGATATTACATTAAACGAAGAATGGTTTAAGGAATACTGGATCCACTTCCTTTTAAAATTTGATTCCTGTTATTAGATAATGTGATAGGTAAAGATGGTTTTTATTGTTCACGTTTAAAATTTTAACTCTTTTATAAATGTTTTCAGAATTTTGATAAGGGGTGTTTATTTTTACAAAAACGAGTAGCGGTTCAATGAAATATCGTCGCATCTCTTTTTAACACGGATGTCAATATGGACCGATCGTACATCTTCAACGGTACATATCTACGCGTTTAATAGCGATCGCACTAGGTACTACTAGAGACGGCCACTCGCTCGGGTGAGTATCTCGAAGGGATACTTTAGATATATACTTCATATAAAACTAAACCGTGATGTCTTCGCTCACAACACTAAGGCTAACGTTAAAGTTAAAATAAATAATTTCGGAACCGACGTTCGGCCGAACCGGTCGCGTGACGGCGAGCCGGGACTACCGGGGCCGGGACTACCGGGGCCGGGACTACCGGGGCCGGGGCCGGGGGCTGAGCGCGGGCGGCCACTAGCTGGCCACGTGCTGCGGCGCCCGCAGCGGCAGCGCCACGGCTCCCCCCCCTCCCGCGCCGAAGCTGCCGCGCAGCGACTCCTCCATGAGGCGGGAGATCTTGTCGCGGTCGGCCTGGAACACGAGAGGGCGAGTGAGCGAGTGAGACGAGACGAGGAGAGCGCGGGCGAGCGAGCGAGAGGCGCTACCTCGTGGATGAAGCCGAGCTGCACGAGCTCGCGCGCCAGCCCCGCGGCGCTGTCGCGGCGCGTCACGGCGCACGTCAGCTGGCGGTTCATCTTGTCGTCCATGCGCAGCAATATCGTCATCTGACATCATATTCAAAACGTTAATAAAAACGAGCACGGCCGAGCCGGGGGAAGGTCCCGGCTCATCTATGACACGATTGCAAACTTACTTAAAAAAATCATTACACAATAAATAACAACACAAAAAATAACAACTTTTATAGAAACCATGTCATATTAGATCTTTAAGAAATAAAATATTAAAAGTAGCATTAGTTTTTTTAGCATTAGTTTTACTTACTAAAAATCTATACTAATATTATAAAGCTGAAGAGTTTGTTTGTTTGTTTGTTTGTTTGTTTGTTTGAACGCGCTAATCTCAGGAACTACTGGTCCGATTTGAAAAATTCTTTCAGTGTTAGATAGCCCATTTATCGAGGAAGGCTATAGGCTATATATCATCACGCTAAGAGCAATAGGAGCGGAGCACCAATGAAGAATGTTTCAAAAACGGACAAAATTTATTACTATTGAGAGACGCAGACGAAGTTGCGCGGGTCAGCTAGTGCTTAATAAAAACAAAATGACAGCAAAATTGACCAAGCAACGATAACCAGGATAGCTTCGAGAAAAGGATGCTACTGTTGTGACTTCTTTTCACGACTTGGCGGGTGGGCTACCGTGCCCCATATTTATATGTTTATACGTTTATATATCTATACTAATATTATAAAGCTGAAGAGTTTGTTTGTTTGTTTGTTTGTTTGAACGCGCTAATCTCAGGAACTACTGGTCCGATTTGAAAAATTCTTTCAGTGTTATATAGCCCATTTATCGAGGAAGGCTATAGGCTATATATCATCACTCAAAGACCAATAGGAGCGGAGCACCAATAAAGAATGTTTCAAAAACGGAGAAAATTTATTACTATTGAAAGACGCAGACGAAGTTGCGCGGGTCAGCTAGTATACTATAAATCACGTTAAGTATAATTAAACTCACTACAAATACGCAATAATTTAGAATTCAAGTAAAACAAATGCAAAAAAAAACGAATAATAAAAAGATTATATTTTAAATTGAATTTCGTACTTAAGTTAGTCTTGCAATGAGGTTTCAGTCGATTTGATTCTAATTTACCATATCACTGATGATGATGATAGTGATGAAATAAAGGTTCTAAGCAAATAAATCAATTTTTAACAGACCGTTACATTTTTTTTCCCATTCTAAATCCTGATCTCCTTACAAGAAAACTATTGTCTCGTCAACTCAGCATCAGCGTATTCCAGTACATACCAACAGATCTGCCGGAGGCGTGTCCGGGTGAGGGTGTGCCTGAGGCTTGAGACTACACATCATGTTGACCACACGCCTCGTCTCCAGGTCCCTCGGCTCGGGGGATGCTGGCGCGCTCTCGGCCAGTCGTTCCGCGGGAGATGCCGACCTGCCTACTCCACGAACCCATCCGTATGCTGTTAAGGGGTAGATACCATACCTACAAAAATAAAGATTTTACCATGAATTGATTGTTAACTAAATTGTATATAATATCCGTACAGCCAACTTACGCAAGTGCAAAACGGTTTATATGATATAACAGTATAATGAGGAAATATGACGTACTACAGAATAAAATAATTTACTAAAATAAAGACTGATACTAAAATAATGACTCTAATTAAAACATTTGTATTTAATCTCATTACTAATATTTATTTTACATTTTTAATTCTAACACACATACATAAATAATTAATTAATTTACATCTAATGAATAATTACTATCTTAGTCGTTACTCGATTATGTATTAATACCTAAACTCAATTCGGATCCGCACAGTTTCACGGACCAAGCCAGGCTCACTTACTTGACATCTTCAACAAACTTCTCCAGTTTTTCAGCATGCGGCATATCTTTGGCTGCGATCTCCATACGTTCACCGCCCTTCAGACACCATGCCAGAGCTTCGCCGCTTCCCCCACCGGCTACCTCGTCTGTGATGGTCTCCGATATATTTGCTGGAATTGAGTTTTTTCAAATTAATACTTTTATTTGAGACTAAATGGAATCTTCTTCGTTCGCGTGGATTTGAAAAGCGCTGCCTGAGTGGGCCCCGATTTTATAGGGTTTTCTTGAGAGGTGAAATTGCCCAAGGTAATCCTTCTATAGACAGCTACCTGATAGTAAAATATTATCAAAATCGTTTAGAAGATTACTCGGAAAAAAACAGAAAGAAAGGCAAACTGGTTTTTAGGCATAGGTATCGTGCAAATAATCGGGTGAGCATGAAAAAAAAAACAATTATTTTGACATTACAAACACATTTCAATATTATTCATTCATTCTTTTACCTACAGTTTAATAAGTGTATTTGTTTGATAGATGTACACCTGCATAATATATTACATAAGGTAGATAAAAATAGTCTGTAAGCACCGGTGTTGCTATGCCAATGTGGCGATAGGGATGTGACCGACTAATCGCTGTAATTTTATCGCGGCTTACATGTCAAATCTCTCCGTCAGATCTTTTTAATAATGATATTTTTAATAATGTATGTTAGGCATTTATAGGACAACGTAGATTAGTCATAATTATGAACTTTAAACATTTCAAATCGGTAAAACCGCACCTACGATCTTGGTGGACTAATCTATACTAATATTATAAAGCTGAAGAGTTTGTTTGTTTGTTTGAACGCGCTAATCTCAGGAACTACTGGTCCGATTTGAAAAATTCTTTCAGTGTTAGATAGCCCATTTATCGAGGAAGGCTATAGGCTATATATCATCACGCTAAGAGCAATAGAAGCGGAGCACCAATGAAGAATGTTTCAAAAAACGGAGAAAATTTATTACTATTGAGAGACGCAGACGAAGTTGCGCGGGTCAGCTAGTAAGCTTATATCCAGCAATTCAAGGCTGTCGGTGCATGACTGATAAGGTTTGATAATATATACTGTTTAGACTATACGTTTGTATGTCTTTTGAAATGTAAGATCACAGAAAAAGTCACATTCGAGTTCTATGGTTTGATCAGTAAGGAATGTTAATCGTTGCTAACAGCTATAATTTATGGTTAGCTGTAAGTCATGATCCAAATTAATATTAACGGTAACGTTAAAAATGAATATCAAATGTTTAGCATACCTGTCGTATTGACCAGTGTATGCGCCGCTAAAAGCTTCAGAGAATGAACTTCGAACAGTAACGGATGGAACAGCAGCTCTCTGGCGGTCGGCCTCTTTGCTGGATCTTTATTAATACACCTGTCAACATATAACGTCAATATTAACGCTTGAACTTTCGTATGAGGAAAGCACATGGTTACATGGCATAGCAAAAGCGACTCACCACCAGCGCCTTGCCTCCTCGGCACCGTAGAATCAACGTGTGTCGGGAATATTTCTCAGAATAGTCCGTCACCAATCGTGACGACATACACGGGACTAGATTCGGGACTTTAGCGGCGAATAAAAATATAAAAAACCGGACAGACTAAAAGTCTATGCTTTTAAACTACAACATAAAACTTGCAACTGAATGGTGAAGGCAGTCCCGTGACAGTCAGTCACGATGTTGCGTTACGGCTGCTGGAAAAGAAGGTACCTGTATATAAAGTCCTTCTGCCTGGACTCCTCCAACGATTCAACCGTACGAATGATGTGTTCTTCCGTGACGTGGCTGCCAGAGTCTCCATTGCCCTGAATCTCAAGAGCGGCTGTCTCCAAAGCGCACATTCCGAACGAGTAGATATCCATCGCAGGCGTCACCATTTGTGATGCTGATACGGGGGAAATAAAATTGTGATCAATGAGCCAGGAGAACAACATAGTTTCGGTTGCTTCTTAAACACGCATCCTGCTCTTTCCAAAAAACCATTAAAAATCCAATAAAGAAAGAGCAAGAAACGATAAGATTGAAGCAGAGGAAACTGTGGTGTCCGGTCCCATTTAGGTTCATGTGTTACGTAATTTACTTACATCCATATTCCGGTGCAATGAAATGCATATTCCTCATATTCTCGCGACAGGTTTTGACGTGATGATGGATGGCGTCGGGCGCTACGGAGCCAATCTTCACCAAGCCGTTGTGTTGGATAAAGATCGTGTCACACGTAAGGTTGCCATGCACAATGGGTGGCACGCAGCCGTGAAGATAGCTGATGCAAATAAGACAGAAATGTTAGTACTACACCCTGGGAAGAAGATTAAATTAGTAGAAAATGGATGCATATGATTATTTCACTCTTCGGCATGTTTAATGAAATAGTGTGAATGGTTCATCATCATCATCAACAGCCTTTAACAGTCCACTGCTGGACATAGGCCTCTCCTTAGAAAGGAGGTTTTGGCCTACTGTACCACGCTGGCCAGACGGGTTGGAATAGAGTTTGTGTCAAGTTTTCCTTCTCTTTGCAGTTTTGTTGTCCTACATAGTTTGCTCCCTTAGTCGGTTCTTACGACACCCACGGGATGAACGGGGGTGGTGACAATCCGTATTCTTAATCTGTCACCACACGGACTATGAATGGTAAGAAAATGTCTTCTATATATTTAGCGTATTTTACGAGATTCAAGTTTCACCTGAGCGCCGACAGGATCTGTGTGCACCATCTCTTCCACGCCTGAAGGGGCAATCGCTTCACATTCCTCTTGGTACGTTTCAAGAACTGCTTCAGCGAGCCGCAAGACATATACTCCGTTATGAATATTACCTGAAAAGCAATTTAGACCAGATCCTTTATTTTGAAGTCGGGCTCAAGGACAGATCCATATCTTGAATATTTGGCAAATATCACAAAGTCAGTCACGATGACTAGCGAGTTTTGTATAGCATCAAGACAGTTGGTGTTTTTAAACAAATAAATATATAAAAACAAGTTAAATTATACCGGTTTTGTTATAACGCCGGCCTAAAAGATAAATTTTCTTTAGATGCCCAATTATCTCAATCCCTTACCCTGGGCTTATCATTGTGTGTATCCGTCCAATATCGGTGGAACTTGACGATGTTGGGGTGCTCGAGCCTCGTGAGGTTGTCAAACACCATTTGTATTTTATCTTCTTGCGCCTTAAAGTTCTTACGCTCAGAGAATTGTACTTCGTTCCATACGACCTCGACTCCCTCCTCTGTGTCCATAGCGAGATTCGCACAGTCGATGCCTGGCACATCGCGCTGTTCCACCTGAGAACAAACAATATAAACATTATAACGCTATTTTATAGGTATATTTTAACTTGTTCAATTATTATATTCACAGGAAGATACAGAGTATATTCACGACGACCGGATGGCGTAGTGGTTTGTGTAACGGACTGCTACTCCAAAGGTCGCGGGTTCGATTCCCGCTCAAGTCAAACATTAGTGTGCATGAACATTTGATGTTTGATTTGGTGTGGGTGTTTCTTTGTATAATATGTATGTATTTACAAAAAAAAAAGTATATATGTATTTATATCAGTTGTCTAGTAGCCATAGTACAAGCTCTGCTTAGTTTGGGACTAGATGGCGTTGTGTGTGTGTGGTTGAATATTATTATTATTATTATGGTTATGAGAATAGCATATTAGAAATACTTGTTTCACTACTTCTGTAACTTTTCAGATTTTACACTCGTTTGTATTCCCGGAGGCCAGAGAAGTATTAAACGCTAATATTTTGCCAAATATAATTTGGCCTCATTGACGTAACAGGAAATGAGGGTGGACAATTAAGGAAGTCAATGGTAAATGATTTCAGAAGTTTAGCTGGAGAAGGTCAGAGTCGACAACTGTACCTCGAACTAGGTTCTAAAAAAAATTCTATGTACGTACATTCTAGCAGCAATTAATTCGTAATTAAAGTGATAGCTAATTTGAAAATTTTGTCTTGTAATTAGCAAAGCTTGGTATGCATCTAGTTGTCTAGGTATTTTATTTGTCTGTAAGCTTTCTTTCCTGACTAGACGAAATATATTACGTTGCGCAATACATACAATATATAAAAAGAAATGAAGTTTTATTAACAAGTAGGATTTAGTCACTTCCTCGTCATTGTTACCGCATTTAAATGCTGAAAAAAATTATGAGTTCTTAATATGTGAACTGTAAAATGATTTGTGAGTACATTGTATCATATACATGCAGCGAACATTCATACTTGTATCCCCGAAGAGGTACGCAAGGGTACAACTACATTATGCCAACTACATAAGTAGATATACGTAATATCAATTAATAGCGTCGACCAGGGGAAGGCAATGGAAGAAAAGGGTGTGGAGGAACGAGTGTCATGTCCCTCCAACACAAAGGATCCTTCGACTAGGCGAAGGGAGCATGCCTGGCGAGCGGAGGTCCAACGGTTGATGTTGGGTATATTTGCTAATCGGCGTAAGAACTTTTCATATCGCGATATTAGGTTAGAAGTTACTGCGTAGTTTGGTGTCTTCGTGAGATGCCAGTGAAGTATATTTTTGTTTTACTGTATGTAAAAGTCGCCATAAAGGACGTTGTTAAGGGCTCGTGCAGCGTGCAAGCGTCCCGCGGCGACTTGATAGAACAAAACGGCTCAGCGACTGACGACCAGTGGTTGCGAGACCTGCAGCGACCAGTCGCCAGAGGTGGATCGCGACTGCGCAGCGCAACGTTTTTGTTTTTATAACAATGCGAAAAACATAATCTTCAAACAATAAAAGTTTTGATACTATATCCATTTCCGTTCTAAGTTCTCTACTTCCAAACCCAAACAATATAATGTTCAGTAGTAACACCAAATAGGTAACTAAATTGTGAATTGTTATTGATCGGTCGCTAATACCGCACGCTGGACTGTTTTTATGTCCGTGTGGTGACGGATTAAGAATAAAGAGTGTCACCACCCCTATTCATCCCGCGGGTGTCGTAAGAGGCGACTAAGGGGCCAAACTACGCAGGACAACAGCATTGCAGAGAGAAGGAAAACTTGACACAAACCCTATATCAACCCGTCTGGCCAGCGTGGCCAAAACTCTGGCCTCTAAGGAGAGGCTATGTCCATCAGTGGACTAGTAAAGATGATGTACTGTTTTTGGTAGCTCGAAGTCGCCGCGAGTCGGCGTGATCAAAGTCGCGCGACAGCGCTGGTACGCTACACGCTACGTGTCGTTGTCGTATAGTCGAATTGATTGTTGTGAGTTTATTAAAAATGAGTGAATAGATACTGTTACGACTAGGTATATCGGTGGTGCCACTCCTTCAACCGGGAATATGAGGGACAATAGGGAGGCTAGGCGTTCATTATAAGGTTAATAGCAGATTTGGGTCCTGATAAGGTACGAATAAAATCGTGGTTATTGTTATTTAGTCGATTGGACAGTTTTTAGCCATATTGGTCTGGTTGGTAACATAACATACATTAGTTGGTCTAACAAATCGACTAGTCGTCAATTTTAGTGTCCCATTTTAGTTAACAATTAACATACAGATTGATCTTGGACATATATTGGTTTAGCATCCTAGGAGACGCCTGACCCACCGAATTTTTAGGGTTAGGTAAGAAATGTTAGAGCTATACTAACTGTGAAATATGGGTTCCAACTGCTACGTAACTTACTCTCATAGCACCTTGAATTTGATATTAGGATAAAACGTATTTTATGAAAGCATAGTAGGAACTTTTAAATGATTGAGATGTCCATCGAATTAATTCCTGAATTTATGTAACACCCGTGGACTGGTAGAAATCCTATGTGGTATTAAGTCTTTTTTATGGTAGGTATGTAAATCATATTTATGAATATGTAAATGATATATACAGACACACCATTTAACTAATAGCATATGAACGAGTCTTGCCAATTTAACCAACTATTTAAGTAGTAAGTGATGTGTGGCCGAACAAACTGTGACTTCCTTTACGAAATGGTAGCTAATCATTCAATTGAGTGCCCCTTTATACCAAGTACAATATGAGAAGATAGCACGGGAATTACACCAATCACCAGACTCGAATTTATGAATACATAAGTGGCATGACTAGGTATAGGCAATCAAATGATTGTATACATAAAGTATACATGTATAATAAGGATTGAATAAGACGAGAACGAGATGGTACGCGTCATGGTCACTGTTTCCCCCAGGAGGTTACCATTCTGAATAATTGGGCTGTCAAATGCAAAACATATCTTTGTTTCGTATGACACATTACTAATAGTATAGAGTCGTAAATAAAAACGAAGTTACTACAAAATAGTAATCACTATCGCTTTACTGGTGAATTGAGTTAAAAATTAGATTAAGAGAAAGAAAATTAGAGTTTCACTATCCCCACTCTAAAGTCAAAATGAACTAAATGAGTTCCAATTCGAGAGGTTTATTAGGGTACACCTGGTTCCCCGAGATGGCGTGTGGTGTTTAGTCGGTTCGTGTCCGACATAACCACCGGTGGTATCCGAACCTCCTGGCTATATTATTGTACTGTCATCCAAATACGGTGAAATTGTGGTATGACAATTGGAAGTACGTTCAAATTAACTTCCAAGATTCGTTTACTATTAGTTGGTCAGTTCGAAGAGTAACTAATAAAGGCTTGTTAAAGAACTAAAGAAACATAGCCTGTATGTAAAAGTTAAACCGTTTTAACGAGCAGACGGGTCACCAGATTGCCTGTGATAACCACCGTCCACTGGCATGATGATGATGATGATGATGATCTTTTCTTGAAGATTTAGAGGTCGTATTGTTCAAGAAATATCGTAGGCGACAATTTGTACCATAGATTGGTGTTATAATGCCCCTAACTAATTGATTGACGTCTACACAGTCCTGTCTATAACGTATGCAGTTTATCGTGAATGTCGCGTCAACACGCTACGTATGTACACAATTAATCGCAAGCTCGATGCAAATGTACAATCAACTTGTTATCGGTCATTCAACCCATAATGCAATTGTTCATAACCGCTATCTTAATGCAATAAATGAACAGTTGTGCTTGATTATAAACACGAGACTGTGCTATTTATATGTGGAAATAATGATTAATAGACTGTACTGTATAGTTTTAATTACTGGAACATAGTCTGCTTTGATAGCAGTATTTTGAATTACAAAACTGAAACGAAGAGAAAACTATCCTGAGTATTTATTTTTGTACAATAGTACTCTGTTTTTCACGAGATTCTGATTAAGTATCTGCTATTCGAGCAACTTGTTGTTCTAAGAATCATAATTCCTAGATTAGTTTTAGGTTTGATCGATTGCCCACACATATATTATTTTGTTTCCTAAACATAGCGCTTTTCTTAAAGGCAGTTATGCAAAACAATTGAACAGAATAATGTCACCCAAATCAGATCTAGTCTAGATAGATAGATAGATCTATAGAGCTCGTGATGGAATGACCTTCGTCATTTTACAAAGCTGGAACTAGAACTTGGGCCTGTTGGTCTAGTGGTTAGTGACCCTGACTGCTACGCCGGAGGTCGTGGGTTCGCTTCCGTTTTCCGTTTTCGTTCCAACAAAGGACAAATATTTGTGTGATGAGCACGATCATTTATTCTGTGTCTGGGTGTAATTTATCAGGCACCAGGGACTTCCTTTCTGCACCAGGGACTTCCTTTCTAGGGTATACCTGGTTCCCCGGCTATTAGTACCCGAGACGGCGTGCGGTTTTAGTCGGTTCGAGTCCGACATGCCACCGATAGATGGTATCCGTGGGGATTTCCGCACGGAAAAAAAAGGGTGTAATTTATCTATAATATGTATGTATTTAGAAATATATACGTATGTTTATCAGCAGTCTGGTTACCATAGCACAGGCTCTCCCTAGTTTGGGATCAGACAGCCGTGTGTGAGGTTATTATTATTATTATATATCCGGTGGAAAGTTTATAAAACGATATTTGTATTGCACATGCCTATTACAGTAGTCAAACTTTTTTACTAATACGAGTTTAATACAAAATGTCATAAACAATATTACATTTCTTTTTGTAGTAGGTATATCGAATTTTGTAATATATTATAAAACAATGTTCATAAAATACATTTTTTTTATTGTTATTAACGTTTACATTCGCTATTCGCCAAAACCTCCTTTCTAAGGAAAGGCTTATGTCCAGCAGTGGACTGTTAAAGGCTGTTGATGATGATACATATTAGATCAGTCCTTGCATCTAAGGCTGACTTTCAACTGTATGGCAAGATGTCAGAACTAACGTAAATGTTTGGACACTAATATCTTTTAATAGTTAATCAAGTAATATAAATAAAATTCAGCCTTTATACTATGATGAAAATACAATAAAAAATTATCAAACTTTAGAGAGTCAACCAGTAAAACCAAGTCGTATGATAGAGAATTGGTTGTACTAAGTGTCTGGCAATAACTGACGGAAATATTACTGCCCCAGTGGTGCAGTGGTAGCGTATGCGACTGCTGTGCTTGAGGTCTAGGGTTCGATTTTAGAGTCGGAACTAATGTTTGTATGATCTGCAAATAGTTGTTTCGGAGTTTGGGTGTTTTCTATGTATAATGTGTATGTATTGTAAAAGTATATAAGTATTCTATCAGTCAATCTAGCTTTTATAGTACAATCTCTGCTTAGTTTGAAACTAGATGGCGTTGTGTGTCCGATGGCAGAAAATATATAAAAAAAACTAATATTATTAAGAAGATAAATGTTAAAGGGGAGTAAAACGAGCAGACGACTCACCTGATGGTAAGTGGCTACCGCCACCTATGCACACTTGCAACTCAAGAGTTACAAGTGCGATGGCGCCTCCTGTATCAGGGGGAGGACAGTTTCGGCTCCGATAACCTTACTGGGTAAAAACCAATTTCGGAATTGAGACCGTGGTATTACTGCGGTCAAGCCGGCCCATTTGTTCCGAACTTCATACTCCCTGTCAGTTCCTACCTCTGAAGATTCGAAGGGTCTGATCATCACGGGCTCTTGTTCTATAAAATGATATGTTCATCAAATATTGATATCAACGCCTGCGCAGACGTATTAGCATAAGTGTCACTGCGCAGTAATGAATGACGCGTCAATCTGTTATCCACGAGTATAGTTCGTTTGGTGCGTGTAGCGCCAATTTAATTATTTCCTCTGTGACTGATAAAATACAGTATAATTATATTTATTCTAGGTAAATTTATGAAGCAAAGAGAGTTGTAATTACTAACAATATATACTGTTGTATTACACAGAGAGAGAGAGAGAGAGAGAGAGAGAGAGAGAGGGAGAGAGAGGGAGAGAGAGAGAGAGAGAGAGATTTAATATTTACTGGGAATTTTGTTAAATTGTTTATTTTTCTATACTTAATTAATTTATTGTAATAAAAGCTCGTTATCAGAACGTTTATCGATTAATTTTTATTGTATTCATTGGTGATAAAATAGATATCCGGTCACTATCCGGTATAATTTGGCCTGAATTTACTATGTGGCCAGATACTGAATAATAAGCAAGCATTCAGTCGGATAACGAATTATAAATTAGCGTACTTTATTTAAGTGATGCAATAAATATTAAAGCCCATTAAAAGTTCATTATGATAATAAACAAAACCGTTTAAAGTCTGCCACGTAATACAATTATTTCACATTCGCATCTTTCTTACATTCCGTGTGGTGACGGACTAAGAATACGGAGTGTCACCACCCCTATTCATCCCGTGGGTGACTGAGCTAATTACGCAGGACAAAAGCACTGCAAAGAGAAGGAAAACTTAAAACAAACCCTTTACCAACCCGTCTGGCCAGCGTGGTATAGTAGGCCAAAACCTCCTTTCTAAGGAGAGGCCTATGTTCAGCAGTAGACTATTATAGGCTGTTGTTGATGATGTTCTTACAAATCTTACAAACTTGGTTTAGTTCAGTAAATTTTAATAATTTATTTCGTACTACGTCCATATTATGAAATATACTCTAAACTAAATGAGTAACATTATAATATAAGGACCAATATCGCGATCAATTCGCACTGATTTAATTAAAGGTATTATTGGTTGATACCAATCACACATTTAATTTATTCTTAATAATGATCAAATAATCATTTACTTTCGTGATCAATGAGTCTGTAATTGTTGTTACCAGTTGTACTGTTGTTTTAATTATATAAATAAATAGCTGTGACCCGCGGTGTTACCCGTGTTTGTTGTTATAACCGCGGGCATCGCCGCGGGGCGAAGCTAGTCTAAAAAAAGCCTAAGTTACTCCCTATGTCATCAGCTATCTGCCAGTGAAAGTCCCGTCGAAATCGGTCCAGCCGTTCCAGAGATTACCCGGAACAAACAGACAGACGTTACAGAATGTTATTTTGGCATATATACCGTGTAAACATACATATGCATTTAGTAAAAAGCGGTTATTTTAATATTACAAACAGACACTCCAATTTTATTTATTTGTATAGATAAAAATAGTCGTCTAGTGGTTAGTGACCCTGACTGCTAAGCCGGAGGTCGTGGGTTCGATTCCCACCCAGAACAAATATTTGTGTGATGAGCACGATCGTTTGTTCTGTGTCTGGGTGTAATTTACCTATAATACTCGTATGTATGTATTTAGAAATATATAAGTATGTTTATCAGCAGTCTGGTTACCATAGCTCAGGCTCGGCCTAGTTTGGGATCAGACGGCCGCGTGTGAGATGTGTGAGGTTATTATTATTAATTTGCGATGTCATTAAAGTAATCGCTGAAAGTGTCGTAAGCTTCGCTATCCAGTTCTGAGGGTGACCGGATAGATATCTGATATCCGACTAAAAAATTTATCCGATTGACCTCTAGGATGTTTGAGAATCGACTTGTGGGGATGGGGTATTGCATTTCTGAATCGCAAAGGAACAATCTTCGAACTAGGATAGAAGAGTCCTCTTACATTGGAACACCTCAACGGGTTTTTACTTTTTTAAATTACCATCTATTTACTTCCTTGTCTGAGTAATTAAGAGATCTTTAAAATACGTACCCAAGTAATGTAGGTATACTACATAAAAATCACATAATTATAGCTGCACGTCATTCCAAGATCGTAAAACCTTAAATTTTATTCGACTTTAACATCCTGTCTGTCTTAATATTCAACAGATGTTATAGATAAGTTATGAGTACAACCATTATATGTCGTTAGATTTCCAT